TGCGATCGAAACTTCGTAGTTTTTTTAATGATTATTTTCGTTGAACCTATCTACGTGACTTTACCGAAAGACCCAAAGAATAGGAACTAAATCAGTTCCTGCATAAGCTCCCAGCAAACGGAGCGAAACGTCAGACACTCAACGCAGCCCCAAAACACCAATAAAGTGCTTGCCACTTTTGGATTTGGATTGGAACATGTAGGACCCGAGGGTAAATGAGTTGCTATATTGGCTCACAGAGGCGGGCTGTAGGGTTTTATAGGATGTACGTGTGCTTGGACAAACAGATGTGGGCAATCTGGCATTAACGGCCCTCTTGGGACAGCGCACAGCTTGACGACTCTCCGGCAGAAATGGGTCCCGAACTCCCGGACTCTCGAGAGGCAATCACGTCGTCACCCAGGGAGTCATAACGTGAGAAGAGTCAAATTCGTTTTCGGCACTTTTCAGCTTCCAAACTAATCTAATGCAAAGAGATGATGTTGACTGAGTGACTGGTTCAAATATAATCATATTGTAGAATGGTTAGAAAGCTGATACAGGTCTATGCTTAAAACTAGAAAATTGCAAATAACCAACATGTTCTAATTTGGTCATCACTCGGAGTGTGCTTTGTTTTTTGTCGTCAAGCACCGATTGGTTTAATTCAAAGTGCAGGCGCAGCCTAAAGGGATACATTGCTTTAAGCCGCGTGCTAAACATTGACTAAACTACACGATCGCCATCCATGCACCAAGTAATTCGCCTCTCGTGGAGAGCGACGTGAAAGCCAAGAGTGAACGCGGTTGCGAGTTGCTGCACGGTGGAAGGCAACCATCCCACCGCCGACCCCAACTCGTTTGTGACATTCGACGTGCGCGGCAACGCGTCTCTGGGCGTGCAACATTTAGAGCGGCTCCCGGTCAGCCGCGAGCGCTGCTGTTGAGCACCGTTCGGGGCTCGGACTTTTGCACGCGGGCAGCTCTGGACACGTGGAGCCCACACGCGCGGTCCAACTTGCAGCGCCTCGCTTGTTTCCCCTGCTCGCTCCTTCAGCGCTTGAGTTGCGTGGACAGATTGAGCCAAGCCCAAACGCTTGTGTTTTTGAAACCTCCCCCACCCTCACCACCCACCCACTCCTCCCCCGCCCCTGCACCACCTCAACGGCCGTGTGAAAAGCCCTCCGTGAGCATTATTACGCACGGCTTGGCAGCCTCCACCCTCTGCCCGGAGCGCCAAGCGAAGGGACATCCGGCTGTTTCTGAGAAGGGGTGAGGAGTAAGGCTACAGCGGCACTGTGGAACGGGGGTAGGGGGGGGGGGGGTCCTTAGTGGTTACATTAAACGGAGGGTCCAATAAAAAGTAAGCCCCCCCCCCCCACCTCCACAACTTTCGTCACGGATAAGAGGAGTGCAACTCCTCTCTATCGTTCCTTTATTCTCCAGGTTATAAGATGCTCCAGAAAGTAAGACGCTCAAAACGTGTGCGTCAAAAAAGTTACAGAAATCTGGTTTCACACACACGCACACTTACCATATTATAAGACTGACAGCCGCTATTTTCTTTAAGGGGTCTTATAATCCGGAGAATAGGGTATATTAGATCTACGTGACCACTGGCTCAGTGTTAAGCCTACTAAGGTGTTTGTAAAAGTTCGCTAATCAACATCATCAGCACATACGGCGCTTTTTGGGGGGGAAGGGAGAAAAACGCGGACTCAAAAAAAACAACACCTGGGATTTTTTGTCCCAAAATGTTGCCGGTGCATTCCCCCCCCACCGCCGCCGTACGCGGACACGTTCGGGGGGGTGGTGGTGGTGGTGTGCGCTCGCCCACGACACCCAGCGGCTGTCCACCGCTGGCAAGGCGTGCGAGTGGCGAGTTCACCCCTGGGGGTTGTGAGCGGCACGGTACGCCTGTCCTGGCAATTGAATGTGTCACTTGGCAGCGCGTAGCCTATAATTTGGGGGCAATTTAACCATCTCCTATATAACCGGTATTGCCTTGAAATGCCTTACAACACCTGATAACGTTTTCTCAGAGGGATACTGCATCAGAAGAGCAGTTTGAGTGCATTATCCCGGTCTGTTAAACATTAAGGTGTGCCGCTTTAGTGCTGTTTAAGGTATATATATAAAATCTAGCTGCTTGTAGTGAGTTGATCACCATTAAAACAACATAATCAAGTAGCACAATTGTATCAGAACAATGCACGCGTGTATGCGAACATCGACATCTGGACGTGTTATTAGATGTTTGCGATATCTTTCAGTTTTCAATTGCAGAGTAGGTGGGTCCTTGAACTACACGGCAAGGGACATGTCCCTAGGCTCTGACTAAAGTGACGGGCGTGGGCCAAGGCGCTTTGAGAGGAATGCGTTTCTCCTTTAACGTTAACGTGATGTCCTACAAGCTCGAACGACAAGAGCTCATCTTTTGTCATGCAATTTGTTTCTGGAGTGCATTGCTTTCCACCACCCCCCCTCACCTCCCACCACCGCCACCACCTCCGTACACCTCCCCCTTCTTTTGTAGTGACGGTCATAAAACTTCAGGATGGGTCTTGTTCTTCTTTTGTCTTGCAGGAGGGGAGGTGGGGGTACTTGTCATCCCAGTGGGGTCCCTTTGATTACAGCTGGCGAGAGGCCCCCCCTGGGAAAGCGAGCGGAGCACGGACGCCGGTTTATAGCCTCCACCGACCACCCCGCCTTCCAGCAACCGCTGTAAAAATTACGTGGTAATTAACAGTTTTCACAGGAAGGGGATCACAGCACCTGCAGGCACGGCCTGTGCCCCCCCCCCCCAAAAAAAAATGCCCTCCGACCACTCCCCTCTTTGACCGGCCCGCTTGCTTGCACAAAATACTTTGATGTGTTGCAGTGACCCCGTGCAACTCCTATATCAACACCATGAATCAGGAATGTGTCTCAAGCCAAGATAAGCAGAATGTCACGTTAAATATTTGATGTTAAACCATACCTTTCTGCAAAAGTGGAAGCTAAGGTCAACCTCTGTACGGTATTTTTTCCTGCACATTGACTGGGCGTGGACCTTGGAAAGGGGAAAATGTCCTTCAGCGAAAACACAATTTCCACGCCGCAAATGCAGGAACGTAATCCTAAAAATAAATGGCATTGCATGAAATGCATTCATAATTAAAGCACACCACACACTGCCAGAGATGTAACATGATTGTACCAAATGTATCCGGCCAGGTGACTCAGGAGTTAAGAGAGCGGCTCGCGATCGGAATGTTGCGAGTTTAAATTCTGGTTGGGGTTATGCCTCAGCCCAAAATCCCCGTGGGTTACTATAATTAGTACCATTTTGTGGTGCAGTCAACAGTCGTTGTTCTCTTGAGAACCACGCTCCTGCCACATTAATGTGGAATTTACACTATTGACTTGGGGCTGTAAATAGAGCACCACACAACGCTCAATTGAGCAGGAATTTGACTAATACGATATAACGACTAAAGCTTATTTCCAACGAGTACTGCGAGTAAACTCTGGAGACGAACTCACTCAGAGGGCTTCGTCTTCGTATTGTATCGTGGTTACGGCCACAAATCGGCATCAATCAGAAACAAAACTAGGGAGGCTCTTAACAAAGCATTCACATTAACCACGCGATCGCACGAGGTACAGGATCCCTTTGTAGATGGTTCTTGCCGCGTATTATTAATCTGCACAGGAAGCAAGCAAGCCCTAATGAGTGGCTGATGGAAAAGCACTTCCAGGTGAGTCTGCCGGTTTTACGGGGATACATATGCAGGTCTACGCCGACACAACTGATGGGATAAACTTAACGCATTCCACGGCGAAATCTGCCCCTTAATATTTCTTTGCAGACAGCTTCACGATTACTGTGCGCGGTTGCTCCGTGAACTACATCTGTGCAACTTTTTTTCATGCTGCGCAGATGGAGGGCAGAAAATAGAAAAGCAAGTTTCCAGATTTCATACCTCGTGTTTCCTGGTTCCATATCCAACGTTTCTCTCCAATGCACGAGGGTGAGCGGTCTCCAGTTTCACCACTATGCACAATGAGTTTGTATGCACAAGCAATGACAATGATAATCAGCCAACATAAAACACCAGTAGTAGTCGGCGACTTGATAGGAGTCAAGGAAGACACCGTAGCTGCTCCACTCAGTTCCCGACATCCAGCATGTGAAAGAACATAGGACATCCTGGAGAACGCGCTACAAGCCGAAAAACACATTTGAGAAATTACATACTACTTTGCAATTTATCGCACTTCGAAGGTGGAGGGGACGAATTTGCTTACGAAAGAAAAGTGCCGGGGCCCAGCAAGCCGTGGACTGCGCGTGTGTAAACAAAAGTGGAATGACCATCAGATAAACCGGCACTTAACTGCGGAGACAAGGGACACTGAAGGCAAAGCTCAGAGGGCTTTTCCCAAGCCAAGCAGCCGCCTGGCTCACAAGTGATCAAGAAAGCCAGGCAACAGTCGCAAACATGAACACCCTTTTAGATAAAAAGAAAAAAGCCGTCAATGGGTAACTCACCACTAACCAGGTGCCCCATCTGCAAATCTGGAAAATGGCCAACCTGTCAACCACACAGCTCTGGCGGTTGAGATGTTACCTCTCTCGCCAGGTATACAGGTCATAGTTTCAATCCCGACCCGGACTCCTGTATATTTGTAGTTTGCATATTATCCCCATGTCCGCATGGATTTTTCTTTGTTGCGTTTAGAGTATTTGGCTGCAATAAATTTCCGCATCATAAGCCAGTTCATTGGACTGTCATTTGCGGCCGGGTCGCTTCTGAAAAAAACTATATAGCCCATTGGGCCTTACCTGGTAAAATACTGTTTTTCTTTTTTTTGGTGAAAAGTTGGGTTGATTGACCCGACTGAAGATATGCATTTTTGGCGCTTCACCACGGAAAGTGAGTTTGCACGTGTGCAATTGTAGTGACGTACAATGTAACCTATACAAACCCGTGCAAATGTTATTGAAATGTTTATGTGATGCAAACTGCAAAGTACCAAATGTTTGAAATTCTTCCTGATGTTTTATTTTTTTGTCTTTCATATTTGATTCAAAACACACGCACACACATTCAATTTGTTAAACGTATGTTTCATGTAATAATAATATATATCTTCTGTGAAAACTGGACAAATTTCAAAACGTAATTATCAGGAAAAACAAATCACCTTATTCCTCTTTAAACACAAAATTTAGTTTAACACGTAGGCTTTCGCGACCAATATTGCTTTGGGTCGGGTTGCATGAATAAAGTATCGTAAACCCTCCTCCACCCAACACAGCCAATTAATACAATTGTCACTTTAACGTGCAAATGTATTACTGCTTCAGCACACCGAGTGTTGGAGAGCAATCTGACATTTAAATGAGAACTGGTAGTAAATTGACATGTTTGTTCACACGTGACAACTGTATTGACTTGTCGGGTGGAGGAGGTTTTAACGACATTTTTTTATTTATGCGATAGGACCCAAAATAAATCAATTAAAAATAACATCATTAAGTTGTTCACATGTGGCCAGATGGTGGAAACAAGTGAATCTTTTCAGTTAGCTATCAAGCATGGAATGCCATTTTCTTTCATCAATCAAAACCCAACGTGCTCATCCATCCACCAATAACAATCCACCTCCCATCCACCACAAGGTGCCAAAAGACCGGCCATAACGCTGTCTTCAAAAGTGGCCATGCACATCGTTGCAATTAGACATATTGACTCAACGCTCATCTCATTTTATACGAAGGCTTTCATGGCCAATATTATGACTCGGGGTTTATTTATTTTGGGTTACATCATGTGTAGGTATGTGATTTTGTTTTACTGTTAATCCTGATCTGAGCCAATCATCCGAAAGAGCCAATCAAAATCAAATTGTCACGTGGGCAGACATGCCAAATTGATATGGTTTTCTCGGCAAACCGAAAAAATTGAAAAGCAAGCAAAATTTACAATGTTCTACATTTCATTGGAATAAATCCAACATCAAGCGTAAAAAAAATCATCTCTCATATCTTTTAGGGTCTAAAATTTTCCAAAATTCAGTACCATTTGATGTTATCGAATTGTTTCCTGTGGTAGCACCCATTATGATTTGACAAATGAAAATGTATTGAAAAAAAATCACCATGCACTACAAACACTCGCAAAGGTAGTTGTTATTCTTATGCCACATTTCCACAACGTTATTAGTAAGCGTGCTGGACATTGTCCAGTAACAGTCCATTTTCCTGCTCTGGGATTAACAGCACGACACAGATTAGGGCTCTCCACGTTATGAGCTGTGAAGCTCCACAAACGCGGCCCTGCAAGCCAGGCATGCATCATCCCCCTCTCGGCCTCCTGCAACTGGATCTGATCTTTAAAAAAATGTTAAGCTGCATTAAGTCTATCCCAAGCCAATATATATTTTGGTAAATTTCTGCCAGGCTGTTTTTAACAAAAACACAGCCCTAAAGTTGAAGGTATGCCATTGAATGCAAGTCTCATTGTCACGTTGGCCTCTTATGTGCTGCTTTCTGATCAACATTGACTCGTGAACACACTTACTAAGCCTTCTTGGCGTTGGGTTGGCTCAGTTGGGCTGCTGTAAGAATTGGGGCCGAACCAGCGAGCCCAGTTTGCAAACTGAGCCAGCACTCTTCCAAGTGGTCGTGGAAACGTGGCATTACACTCCTGCCTGGCTCCGAATTGAGGTCCCCACTTCCCAGATTCAATACGATACACTGGGCTATTAAGACAGAGCCCCAAACCTTTTATTTAAATCTTATTACATCAAGGTTTTGTACAAATCACAGGCCAGTTGAAAAATAATATTACAATCCATTACAAAAACACCTAACAGTTCACCTTTTTCAGCACCAAGTCTAAGCAGGATTAACCAGTAAAATAACTTACATTAATTTTACTTCCCAAACAAAAATGCCAAGGAATGTGTTTATATGTTTGCACGAATTACTGAGTTAAAATGCTTCCTAAGTTTAAAACTTGTAGATCTTAAATAAAATCTCATGGATACCTGATTGAATAAAAATTATTTTTCTCAGTCACGTCATATATACGGATGCATCAGAATTATACTACAAGCGTCATGTGATGGTTAAGCCTGCCAAAGCGGGTACGTTATACGGCCTATTAATTTACAAAAAAATGTGCGCATTGAAATACAAAAATTTCCTTCAACACACCATTTAGTGTTTGGTGGAAATGTTCCTAATTGACACATGGTTCTGTTATCTGTACACTTATCCACCCCCTGTGTAATTAACAATGCTCTCCGTAAGCTACACGCTGCAGGCAAATGGGAACAGTGCCTATTAAGAAATCCTTTAAAGACAGTGAAATACTGAGGAGCCCCCGATATCCAATCCCGGGCAAGCACCACAAACGGACAGGCGCGGTTTTGCCGTACGCTTACCGGACACATACGGCCTTCTTGTTACCGACACGCCGCCGTAGTGCTCGCTGCGTGCTACTTTACAGTAAAAAGGATTCTCTTTAGAAATCCAAGGATATAATTTGTAAAAATATTTTTCTTATTACAAACCAGATGTTAAAATTGCATTTATTTTACAGCGTATGTGCAAGGGCTTCCTATCTACAGTTACAATGCTGCTGCTGGGGACTTGCACCTGTACACAATGTACATTAACCCTGTAACAAAAAAAAAAAGGAATTGACATGAAGAAACCTCAAGTTAAAACCCTTGCGCACCTAGTGATTAAAAGAGCATGGGGGAAATTAATTGCTCTTCACGATCCAACCAAACCCTACTGACAACCGGTTGATATTGTTGAAAAATGAGAGCGCGCTATCACTCGGGGTCAGCAGGTTCATCCTTCGGCTTGTACACGGCCCCAAACTTGGTCATGTACTTCTTTATGTACTCCTTTGTCTTGTGTTTCACGTTCTCATTGCACTCCAAGTCCTCTGGGTTTCGACACAACTTCATCTCCTTGCTCATGACACCATGGGTGAGCTGTCCACACACAAGCACACACACACACAATGTTAATGTGCCTGAACTGAAAGGTAGTCATTGTGACTCCGACTACGGCAGAAGACAATATTTGCTTGTAATTACTGATATTTTATTTACTTTACTGTTACATGTTAATTCATATGTGCAGCATAGAAAGAATGATATGAAAGTCATCAGCAGGGTGAGAGAGAAGAGCTGGATTGAACATTCTACAAGGAGATGATTTGATAAATAAGAACATTCGAAAATAATGAAAGTGAAATTAACGAGAAAAAAATCTTGACTTAAAGCTTTCTTGACTGCAGGAATACATATTCTATGGGTCTTTCGGTAAAGTCACATAGATAGAAAAATAATAAAAAATATCTACGACGTTTCGATCGCAACACAAGCAATCATCTTCAGGTGAGAGAAAACAGTTGATGATCCGGATGCTGGGGGAAGCTTAAGGGATGGATTGTAGAAATGAAGAGGGCAGAGGACTGAGGAGATGGCAGCAAAGGACCACTTAAGACCAGAAGCAGGTGGGGATTGCTTCACTATTATGAAAAATCGCCCAATGATGCTGGATGTAATTACCGGCGAAACGTCGTACTTGTAAATGTTGTGGATTTACTCTCCAACACACCGGTGGGCCGAAGTAGTCACTAATTGGCAGGTTTTGTTTATGTGACAAACCTTACTGGCTGTATCGGGTGATGGAGGATTTACCACGCATTTATATTTACGTGTTTTAACTCAAAAACCTTTATAATGAATATTGGGCGAGAAAGCCTACATCACCAAACAAGGGGTTTATTAGCCTTGGAATAACTGAGAATGTGCAATAGATTTTGAAGGCATGGGAAGTCAACTAAAGCTGAAAATTACCCAAACAAACAGATTTGATTTAATCTATGTATTGAAAATTAATGCATGAAATAGAAAACATTGAAATGTACCGTATTTTCCCGCATACAAAAAATAGTGTTTTGTGTAAAACAAATTTCGGATAGCCCACACCTCCATATACCCCGCATGCATTCATATCTTTAACGTCGTTACCGCAGCTTAATTCCATCATATTAATACGAAGTTTACATTTGTAATACATTCCACTATACATTGTGAACATTAAAATCATAACGTGCACAAAGAAAACAAACTAACCGGAAACGAGTGAACTTAAAACAGTAAATAAGTAACAAAAGTAAATATCCAATAAATAAGTAACACATAACTGGTAGATAAGTACAGTTTTAGCACTGGTAGATTGCGCACTGCGCAGATAATAGCGGCACTACGGTAACGCCGTTGCCTCGCCCCCAACCCCCCCACCTCTCTCCCCCCAGCTCTCCCGTCGCCAGTAAACAAAGTGCACCCACTTCAAACATTGTCGTTTCAATGTACAAACAATTCGAATAATTTAAAACGTGATAACATAGGCAAATTTAGTGTGAGTGGTTTATTCAGCAGTGATTTAATCAAAGGTAAGTGGATAGACCTAGCATGAAAAAAATCAACGCATTATGACATGTCACACGTGTAAAATATTTTGTGGGATAGCCCGCACCTCCATATACCCCGTAGGGTCTTGTTTTGTTTGTAAAAAGAGGTATACCCCGCGGGTTATATGCGGGAAAATACGGTAGTCATACGCAGATTTCCCTTGTTGCAACTATACTTTAACAAATCACATCTTGTTACACAAACGCATGAGAAGTAACTGCATAAAAAAATTCAATTTATTCACATTAATGTAAGATGTCGTACCTTGCGGGCCAGATACTTGAAATCTTCGGTATTTGTGATTTTTCCTATTTTACAGTCCGGCTTGCGGAATGCATTGAGGCAGTGCACGATAAGTTGAGACAGCTGCCAAAATGCACAAAAAAAACCATGAGAAAAAAACGAGTTAAAGCCCCAGCATTTCAGATCTTATATATATATTTTCCGTTTTAAGTGGTGCAAGCACATCTCTCCAGGGAAGTGTGGTCAACACATGGGGATATGGCCCAAAACTGTGGCAAAGGTATTTCTGGCCTAATCTGGTGAAAAATTGTACTGTCATTGAGCCACATGTGCAAAAAGAACTGCAAGCCATGTCATGGTTCAATGGAAGGGTTGCTCGCTTATTGTCAGCACACCCAGTGGGAAAAATAAAAGTATCATTAAAATAGGACTGGAAAAATAGGACAGCTCAGGCTCTCTTGATGTTGCTGTGAAGACAAGAAGTTAATTTCTGGGGCCACGTGATGGCAGCGTGACAGCCAGGTGGACAGGTAAGCATCGTTGTATTAATACAGCTGGGGCACATCATTAGGCCATGGACTACTCTAAAGGTGTTAACGGTGCGGCCCTGAAATGTGCTCGCCCACGCCCCTTTTGGAAGAAGGGCCTCACAGCTCGAGGATGAGTCTATCATGGTGGCCAGATGTCATGGAAAAGGCACGAGTACCCACACATTACCATGCCACACACTACCTGTCGATTGACTGTGGTGTACCCATGAATACTACTGGGTTGACAGAAGGAGGGAGGGGGTTCAAGACATTTGTTTCTACTGCCACGCTGGGAGATCGAACCGGCAACTTCTAGATTGTCCTGCCACTATAAGCAACGCTCATAAACACTGCAATAATAGCACCTTCATACGAAAGCTCCAAGGGCCAAGAGAGTTACACAAGAGGTGCTAGTATGACACAACCCTTGTGCATTCACCTCCTTCCTGAAGGTCTCCTTGTTTTTCTTGGCCAGCTCGCTGGACGTATCTGCTTCTGCAGTCTTGGGCTTCTTTGATGCCTGGCACGAACACAAACAATGAAAGATTATTCTTGGTTCTTTCAGTAAAGTCACGTAGAAGGGAAACAATAAAATAATAAAAATATAAAACAATAAAATTATCACGACGTTTCGACTGCAACACAAGCAATCATCATCAGGCATTGCAGTCGAAACGTCGTGAGAATTTTATTGTTTTATATTTTTATAATTTTTTTCCCTTCTACGTGACTTTACCGAAAGAACCAAGAATATGAATCCCTGCAGTCACGAAAGCTTTAAATCAAAATGAAAGATTAGCAAACATCAGCGGAGGCTCAAATATACTTCACCAAAATGAGAGCCAGATTAGATATTTTATAAAAGAGCATGCGACCCCAGGACGATTGTAGTTGAGGGAAAACATTAAATTCAACATATCGCCCTCATCAAACTCCATGCACGCATTGCACTTAACGTGTCTAATTCACTTTCTCATTTCCAGAATGTCTTGTCAAATGGAATTTTTCATATTGAAAACTCCAGCGAGCTCTTCCGAATACATGTTGTGAAATGTAGTTTTGCAAGTATACATTCGGGTGAGCCGCCTTGGTCAATATGTGGCTGCTGTAGTGAGGAGATGTGGGGGAGGTTGCAGAGTGGGTCTGGGGAGCAAGCACTGCAGCATGGCGACTTAGGTTCTTTAAACATGTGCTGTAAGCTATGTATTTTTATCTCTTCGGATTACATCTTTCTCCGTTCTCTCGCTTATAACTCTCTTCTGAATACATCGCTCTACTTATTCGTGGCATATTTCCCTTTCATGTGGGGTTTTCCTTATTGGTCCTCTCTCAATTTATTCCTATCCTGGGCCATCTTCTCCATGTCTATCCCAGAGTCAATTCATATACTGGTTCATCACTTGCAACCAACTTCGCGAGGGCTGCCTCTTGGTCTCCACCCTTGTGCTCCATGTGCACCACAATTTTTTTACGTGGATTCCCTCTCTTTTTACGACATGTTCTAGTTGATCCAGGTTGTTGTTCAGCACGTCTGAGACGGTGACATCTCTTTTCTATCGATATTGTTAATTATGCTATCTATGCCTGTGGCCCATGGCTCTACGCATCTTAAGCCAATAGATCCACGATGCTTACTTTTTTACACCCTTGCTTTAATTTAAACAAATACACATTGAAAAAGTTGTCTAAGAACATTTTTTATACTGCTTTGCACCTGGGGCTTTTTGTGCAGAATGCTTTTCTCGAGAATACCAAAAGACCAACAACCCAAATAAGCACGACAGGCCGTAAAAATTACCACCCCCCCCCCCATTTTGAACCACATGTCTGCCAAGGGGTTCAGTGAGTGCTCTCAGTAACTCGTAGCAGGGAAACAAGCAGCCTGTGGGCTCCCACACTGCACAGCTGCATCAACCACCACTGCCGTTGACATGTTGTGCCTAGTCTTGGCAGGTCAAAAAATTATACGCTCAAATGTGAAGGCAAAACAGATGGAATAGCCAAGTCCTAGAAACCGCTGTTGCTGCTGCATATTTAAAAGGTAAAACATCACCGATGAGGCTTTTTACAACAATCTAAGTTTGATGTTGTCCCCCTTATTCCCTTGTGCCCCGCTTAACTGGTGAGAAGACGCCTTGGGCATTATCAATGTGGCATGCAGATGCTCAAGAGTGGAGCATGCATATTTCATTAAAAGCCTCGTTTTAGAACACCAGCAGAGAGCGGGCCGGACATTTGAACAATACAGATCGGCCAGATTTGCTGAGCTCTACCCCAGTTTGAAATGTGTCTGGGAATGTAGACGGCAGTGCCACTCAGTGCTGTGTGCTGGAATTATTCTCACTTGATAAATGTGTTTTCGATTTAAGGTCACAAAAAACCCCCAAATAAAGCCTTTATTGGCATTTAGCACTCCCGTAACATTAGCACAATGCAAATCACATGGCTAGTGCATCAACCCTTGCAGAAATTTCCAAAAGAAGTGGGAATTTAAATAATATAAACCCTGTTTAAAAATAGAAACCCAAAGATGCTAAACGAATGCTCCCAAAAGTGTAAACAAAATATGTAATAAAAGTCGTACAAAGTTTTACGAATATTAATAATGACCTAAGATAAAAAAAACGACTAATTTAAAATATCATCTTTAAGTCATAAGGAAACAGGAGTAAAATACATATGCTCAGTCCACATACAGATCGCATCTATTGGGTCTGCTGTGAATTGAATGTGCGAATCTTTGAGTGTTATCCCCTATTATGGATGGGATTTCTCAAGGTTATCTAGTTCCCCCGCCCACCCACATGATAAATAACCATTATCAGCTAAACAACCCAATTTCAGGGCCCCTCCTTCAAAGAGTCTTGAGACTCGGTAATAATTTTTTGGGGTAAATAATTGACATAATTAATATTAACACAGGTAATTCTCTGGGGGATTCCCCACTGAGCCTTTAAAGTTGCGTTGCAATTGGGACCTAACCCTCTTGAAAAGTAGCCAAATTGATAAAAAAAAATCCCTAAAACTTGAAAACACAATCCAGTGGGGGGGAAAAAAAGACAATTTACAAATATATTAAATCTTTCCATAATCCATGTGGGTGCATGGATGAGGGAGGAGGGGGAGGCGCCCTTGCCTTGGTAGGTGTCTCGTCGTACGTGGGCGTCCCCAAGTCCATCTCCGACTCGCGGTCACCACCCACCTCGTCCGAGTCGCCCTCCCATGCCGGCGGGTCCCACTGGGTCACCCTGGAGCAAGGGGCACGGCACAGCGTCAGCATGCGAATGCGATGCGGGCATCCACACACGCACCGGGCATTACGGCCAATCCCCAGCAACGTCGCGATGGCACAATTCACCTGTGACCGCACGAGCCGGAGGGTCCCTCTTCACGTCACACAGACAGTTCCATGATACGTGCTGAATTACGCCCGGGAGGACACGGGTGGCTTTTTTTGGAAATGTGCACACTGCGATCTTAGATGAAGATGCAACCCAAAATACAAAAAGCTCTGTTCTAGATTTCAGAGGTGTGCCGACACGAGATTTAAACTGTCAGTGAGAAATAACATTTAAAAATTACGGTTAGGCATGATGTCATATAGCACTCAAGCGATGTTATTGTGGTGACATTTTTAAAAGGTGTGGGAGTCACTGTGCAATAATTTATTTGACCATAAAATATTCACCTGACCATAAAAACACCTACCCACGTAATTTTTTTTAAATGAAGCTTCTCAATGGATTCACTCTAATACACAGCCCAGGTAGTTATTCTGAATGTTTTTTTTTTCTCCACATCTCACAAATAACACGGTTGAAAAGTGCACTACTTTTTAAATCTTGACTTAAAGCTTTCGTGACTGCAGGAATTCATATTCTTTGGGTCTTTCGGTAAAGCCACGTAGATAGGTTCAAATAAAAACAAAAACTACGACGTTTCGATCGTTTTCCTGAAGACGAATGCTTGTGTTGTGATGGAAACGTCGTAGTTTTTGTTTTCAGTGGACCTATCTACGTGACTTTACCAAAAGACCCAAAGAATATGTACTTCTTTTTGCTTGAACAAAATCCAGCTCGATAAAGCTGGAATACTTACGTTCAGCTTAACACAACTGTGGTACAAAAAAAAAGCACCCTCTTTATCTAAACCACATGGCCAAGCATGGCGTAACGACCGAAGGCACTCACCGCGACACCACGTGGTAGTAGTAGATCTTGCCCTCCTGGTCGGTGGCCGTCCTCCAGTTTGGCGGCAGGCTGATGACCTTGGGCTTGGGTGGGGACGGCGGCGGCAGCTCCATGACGTTGCACGTGGCTATCATCGCTGTCTGGGTCGGCTGCGGCAACAACAGGTGGAGACACTCCCCAAGTCACCGCGGGCGACGCTCGCGCCACGAACAGCAGGCACGACAGTGTTCAAGGCGTGATCACAAGTCACGGCGACGGTGATCCATCATAAGTGCCCAGCGACGCGTAACCTCCCTGCTACTTCAGTCTACTGGGGGGCAGATGTAAAAATGAGGATGTGTCATTGCCTGAAAGTACCCATTGCTTTTTAGTTGCATGTGTCCATATATTTACACGGCCCTCTGTAAATTCACTGCCAGATGAAGGCTTCTCTACGCTGTCGGTCGTTGGGTTTGGCTGGTCGGTGTGAGTTGAAGGTGGGGAAGGGACCCAGGACTGGTTCAGATTTCAGATATCACTTGCCACTGTTGGCAATGGCCAAGAATCGAACTTGGGTTCCCGGGTTCAGAATGCAGTGTGCTTTACAAAGAGTAGTGTGCACACTTTAGCGCGCTTTGAGTTAAACCGAAGAAATCCCCATAAAAACACATTACCTCAATGAGCTTGGGCCCGGCTGATACCATATATTTCAAGGTCCACCTTTTGATGCTTTGTTAACACGTACAAACGTTTTACTAGCAGCCAGCAGTGAAATGACAAAGAGCAAAACTTAAAAAAAACGTTATGCCGCAAGCAATCGTTGGGATGGAATGCAACTACTGCTCACAGCACGCAAGGGCCACCAGCCCTACCTGCTGAACGGTCTCCATGACGATGGGCTGCTGGTAAGCCACGGCGACGGCTGGCGCCCCCGGGGCAGCCTGCACCACAGGCTGGGCCGTGGCGGGGTAGTATTGCTGGCCTTGCTGCACGTAGCCTGCTCCCGTCTGCACATACGTGGCCTGTGCAGGACAGAGGGGTGGCTGTGTGAGCGCTGAGGAATCGTACAACTTAAACGGGCAACTGCATCTTGGCATTAGCAAGTCCCAGGCTGGACGCACACAGGGGTATGCAAATAGCACTCAACGTGAGATGCGTGCAACTATGTTCAAAGGATAAAAAACACTCCATTGTGCCCTCCCAGCCAGTGTGTGTGTGCCGTGAATGGCAGCGCAGTGGTTGATCGCACTTCGCTACGAACCCAGCGACCCGAGTTCGAGTCTCGCTTAGATAATACGTGCCGTATACTTGAACCAATCCTGGGACTCCCCTAGATCGACTCGGTGCGTAAAACATCAAGACTGGGGAAACAAAGGTGGTGGGGGTGTGATAATGGCCACCCACCAACTTGGGTGCTGTACTGGCCTTCATAGGTGCTTTCGAGTCACATTTGCGCCAACAGTCTGATAAAGGCTATACAGGGGATCTTAGTCTTATGTGTACCGTGATGGTGAAAATTATCATTGTTGGCAACACAAAGCTTATCGAACTGCCATCTGCTGCAGAGAACAAGTATTGTTGCGAGTGTGTACTCGTACCCAAGCCAGTGGAACAATTTGACATCCACATGCTGTAATTGCATCAATTACCCACTGGGACAATTTTTTGGCATATCACATTGCACAGCGTAACCAGCAGGCGTGAGATTACTGTTAAAACCCAGCAGTTGGAACACTGCAAGACCGAGGCAAACATAAGCACCCGACACCCATGTGGGTTTAGGAGGGGAACTACATTTTCAGGCAACGTTTGTTTCTGCGAATTACACACGCATTAAAAGCACATGTTTTAACACCATTTTAATGGCCGCATTTAGAATTTACGGCAGGATTGCTCATATGCTCCCTAAAAGTTTCATTAAGATATTGAATCGGTGCATTGTTAGAAACATAAAAAAGGTATTTTATTCCAGGATCAAGAACCGCCACCCATTACAATGTATGACTATTTTTTTGCACCGTTAGGTGTACAAGCCCCTCTCTCTATTTTCCCTCACTTCACAGGCAGGGTTGGTGTTTAAGCAGAGCTCGCACGTGATACCCACGTGGCCAAAGCAACAAGCATACAAAAGTAGCATTGACTAAGTCGGCAACATATCTGTGTGAAGTTTTGAGCATTTGATTCTCTCGTATATACGTGGGTTTCTCGAGGCACTTAAGCTTTCTCACAACCAAACAAGCTGAAAATATCGAACCCAATGGATGTTTCCTGTTTTCCTTTTATTTTGTGCATGCAAGTTTCGACTCGTGCTGCAATTTGTTCACGCGACTGCCGAAACCACTAGAGGTCCCACATGCACCGCTACCGGCAAAATAATCAGTTCTTGAACTGCAAATCCAAATCAGGACAATTCGTTAAAATGACGAGGGAAAACCAGTTGCACGCTCCCCAAGTAGGCACACGGACGGCCCTTTTGTAAAGACACCAAAAGAGGGCATTAACACTCCGTGCGGGTCAAGGGGATTATTTGACCATACTTAATCACGCAATCATCACAAACAGCTGCCCATGTTTACCTGTACGGACTGCTGCTGAGCAAACTGCGTAGCGGCGGTGTACGCCGGCTGCTGCTGCGGAACGGCTTGTGCCTGGTACACGATGGTTTGCTGTGGCTGTCCGGCCGCCACATACTGCTGCGGGATGGCGGCATACGCGGCGTCCCACCCTGCCGCTGTCGCCTGCACTTGCACACCGCCCGCCATCGCCGCCGGTAGGATGGCGGGATCCATGGCCAGCAACGTGGCCGTGTCCTGCGCATTCGGGTATTGCTGCTGCTGCTGCTGCTGTTGAAGCTGTTGTTGCAGGAGCTGCTGCTGCAGTTGCTGTTGCTGCAGCTGCTGAAGCTGCTGCTGCTGAATCTGCTGCATGACAACGGGGAGAGGCTGGGACAGGGCTTCCACTCGAGTGAGGTCCATAGGATCTTGAGCCACCTGCATCACCGAGGGGTCCTGCTCGTAGCACACAAGGACCTGCACACAAAGACAAGCAGGAAGGCATTACCTGGCTGGTTCTATTGCACTGCACGCATCCTAATATTCAACATCTCGGTGTTTGAAGTGGTTTGAAAAATGTGTTGGTATACACAGAATAAAAAGGCATTTGATATACACATTCTAATAAAAGTATTTTAGTCACACTAAATATACATTATATACCACATTATGTATTCTAGTGCACTACACATATACATTGTTTTGTTCTTTTGCCGGTATGTCATCCCATCTGTTTTTTGTTATCTTACTGCTATACATACCAGTGCATATCAATGTATAAAATTGCAATGTGGCAAAGTAACGATTACAACCACAACAATGAGAAAAACATTACAAGCAGCTGCAGTACATTGCATTAGAGGTAGAGCAACACCAGTCCATGTGGAAACGAAACACAACACAGCATATATCTGCCATGGAGTGCACTTCAATGCTCCCGCATCTATGCTCCCTGGCTCCACCAAATCGCTCTGACCAACGTGGTGAGGCAGAGCAGAATAACTCCAATTACTCAGACAGCATTGAGAGGCCCTTATGCAGCAGTGGACTGCCATTAATAGGCAGCTAATTATGTTCTTAGAATATTGTGCGGATTATAAATTGCATCAATAATTGCCCAAGTATCTCAAAGCTTATCATATTACATCACATCCACTACATTACTCTGTGGCAGTGTAGTCTAGGGGATCCCAGAGGCAAGCATCCCTACAGGGTAGAAGACACAGGCAGCACTGTCCTTAATTTTGTATCAATTGACCACCATGGAGGCCTGTGTACATGACCACCATGGAGGCCTGTATATGAAGTTTGTGCCCTCACTGTAACAGGTTATAACTACATTATGGGCAGTGGAGGGCCCAGCCCAGCAAAATAGGGCTCTACATCTACACGATGAATTAATAGGACATCATCGGTGAGCTCACCGGATTGCCCGCAGAGTCCACCTGCGTGGGGCTGGGCGTGGGGAGGAGCACCTTGCGAGCGTTGACGTGCTGGCTTTGCTCCAGGTGAGGGTGCACCGCGTAGCCGTGAGCGTAGCCGGGCTGGAACGCCTGCTGCTGCTGCACTTGGGGCGAGTACGAGGTCATGAAGTTGGTGTCGCACGGCTGGAAGAGGCCCGCGGCAGCCATAGCCGCTGCCGCCGCCGCCTGCTGCTGCTGCATGAAGACCACTTGCTTCTGGGCCTCCTCCTCGGCGGCCCGCTGCTCAAATAGCCGGCGCCGCTCTTCCGTCGTGAGCTTGGGCCCGTTCGGAGGTGGCGGCGGCTTCCGCTTGGCAGGGGTTCCAAGGTCGGGGTCGTACCTGTTTATATATATAAAACAAAAAAACCCAATGCCTACCTCTTCGGAAAAGATGCTCAGATGCACGCATTTTCAACCCACACAAGTGCTGAGTGTTGTAATTGCATTAATTCATATAAAATGTATTCTTGTGCTTACAATACTTGCATCGAACCATTCGCGTAATAATTAATTTAATATTATGCATAATGTGCGAATGACATGCATATATTACATTTAGGCAGATGGAGGGAACAAAATAATAACAGGAAAAACCTGAAATAATAGACAAAATAAATTATTGGATCGAACAACAATTCTCTATATGGAGAATTCTCTATATTTGCATATAGAGAATTGTTGTCATAAACCTACCTTATTCAATCTGAAACAGACTTTTGCCAAATTAAGCAATTGAAGAGCATTCATGCAACAAGACAACGCAATAAGGTCTCATGTCCAAGAAAGCCACAAGTGACGCCAATGATGAGATCAACTATACCTCTCTGCGGAGTGCTGCCTCTTGACTCCGAGTTTGTCGTAGGAAGAGGAGGGTGTCTGAACCTTACGCTTCTCCCTGTCCCGCTCTCTTGGAGTCGATCTCTTGTCACCTGAATCTCGGGATGTGCTTTCTCGGTCCCGGCTGCTGGTTCCATCTCTCCCATGCGCTGCAGATAATTCACACGATTAACATTCGCTAATAATGCTATGTGGAGGACAGCAGAAGGCAGTGCAGCAAGATTCATTGTTTTATTCTACTTCTATGCTCCCATGTAGTCTCCCCACCCTCACAAAACTGCACTTAGTGTGGCGAGATCAAATAATGTCCCACGGCATAGGAAGGTCTTCACTCAGCAGCGGAATGTCAAAAGGCTGTACAATAATGCACTCATTTACAATTTAATGGATTACAATCAGCACCTCAAAGCATATGAATGCAAAGGTATACCAAAATTCACGTTACCTTTTCTACCATGGTCCGACTTCGGTCTGCTCTTTTTGGGAATCCTATACACTTCCTACCAAAACATGAAAAGCAACAATCACGTACACATTACGTTGGTTATATACACGAACTGCAAAATTAAACAAATGAAAGACAAGAGCATTATGAAGCAATAAGATTACATTTATTGATACCTTAAGGTCCTTCCAGCTGTGCAGCAGCTTGACGGCCAGCTGGGCGATGGTAACGGGGCTGTGGTGGTCGGGCTCTTGACTCCTCTCGCTCTCTACATCCGAGCCAGCTTCCTCTTCATCGTGCGAGCCAATCTCCCTGACTGGTGCTATCGCTAGAGTGTCCACATTCTCTGCACAGTCTTCCTTCTCTGACGGCTGTTCCGGTGCCGCACTTGTTTCAGGGTTCTCGACGGCTGCCAGTTCCTTCTCCTGGCAGGGAGTAACTATCTGAGGTGGAGTTTCCTCACCAACCTCCACCTCCATCTTGAGAGTCTCCCCTTGATCCTTCATCTCTTCCTTCTTGACAGGATTTTTTTCATCTTCTTTTTCATTCTCTTCTTCTGGAACAGGCACAACCTCCTCCTTCACTTCTTTCACTTCTGTCTGTTCTTCTGGCTGCAATGTTTCAGCCTCCTCTTTCTCTTCCTTTACTTTTATTTCTTCATTCTCAACTTTCTCAACTTCCTCAACTTTTTGCTCAAGTTCTTCTTTAGGTTCCTTTTCATCAGACTCAATCTTCTCTTCCTGTGGCTCTCCTCCCACAGCTTCTTGGCCTTTCACCTCTACCTCCACCTCCGCCACGTCCTTCGGCTCCTCCTCTCCGTCAGACACTTTGCTCACGTCGGATGCCACGCTGTCTGTGCTGCTCTCGTTGAACAGCTTCAGCCTCCGGTACAGCCGCGTCTTGAGGCTGCCGTCCATCGCCTTGCTGCCGTCGGGCGCCTTGCCCTGGCCTTGGTCCGTCGGCTTGACCACGTCGGCTGCCCTGCCGGCCTCTGACTGCACAGGGCTGCCAGCGATGCTAGTGGCGTCGAGTGTCTTGCGCAGCTCTTGCGAGCGACTCAGTTCGAGCGGTGCCGGGCTGTTGCGCGCGCTCATGGCCTGAGATGCGTTCTCGCTTGAGTAGCCGTCCACTTCCGCCGCAGGTGCCAGGCCCGGGCTGCAGCTGGCCCAACGCTCGATGACTCCCAGCACTTTGCTCTTCTCCAGGATAGTGCGGTTTGGAATGGGAAGGTGCTGCAACGTCTTGATGATCTGCAAGGTGCAGAACAGCTTATTTATTTGTTGTATGTAGATTCAACATGCAAGAGAGACACCGTTGAACCATTGTAATTAAGGAATACATGTTATAGGTTTCCCTCGCTTTATGCAGTTGACGTGTTCCAACAAATGTGCACACAAAGCGAAACCGCATGAGACAGCTGCCTGCCAAGTAGCGCATACAATCCACAAAATTATGTCCCACGTCCAACCCCATATAAGTGTGAAATTTGGGTAGAAATAGGTTAGCCGCATATAGACGAACCCGCAGAAAGCGAGGGAAGCCTGTATTGACCCAAATGATCAAATTACCCATAATGTGCCCAACCCTGTCTGATCTCAGATACTAAGTATGGTTGAGCCTGGATTGTGCTGAATGGTGTAGCCTTAGTGGTGGGCAGTAAACAGCAGTGCAACATAATATATTATAGTACTGTATTTCTATGCTTCACCAACCCAAATTGCTCAGCGTGGGGAAATACGCTCAGATAAGCCCAATTCCCACACGGCAGAGAGAGGTCCTCAATCCAGCATTGAATTGTTAAAAGGGCTGGCATGCACCAATTAAAAATTATAATCAGAGAATAAAACTAAAATATAGTACAGGTAACCCCCGACTTATGACAGCTCGACTTGCGAACGTCATCCAGGAACCAATTAGATCATAGGTGCGGGGGGGGTCACCTGTACTTAAATTGTAATTCCATTAACATCATGTACTTTCAATTAACATTCACAATTGATCAAATATTAGACTGTATGTACACTGATATAAGTACCATAGTGCCTCTTTCTGGAAAAAAATGTAATGCAACACTGTTCAGCTGCGCTCATTGTGTTATTGCCAACACCCTCGCAGTAGAGGTGCAACAATCTACCCCCCCCCCTCACCATTCAATTAATTTGCACAGTTTAGCATTTTGATTCAAATTTTTTTTTTACATTGTGGTGAATGTATTGGTCTCTCGTAAACTGGAAGGGGGCCATGTGCACCAACTATATACAACATAAATGAAGAGTGAACAGATATAGACGTTTGCGCACACGGCTTGACACATGTCGTGAGTGTAAAAAATAGATTGTAATTGAGCAATTGACCCATCATAATATCCCTACATTAAACCAGCTAATGCAGCACTGCAGTCAACTACCCCGTAGTAGTAACCAGGTCACTATTGCAAATGCGATTATCCTTCTTCTTTGGTTCTTTCGGTAAAGTCACGTAGAATGAGACTTTACCGAAAGAACCAAAGAAGATGAATCATTGCAGTCACGAAAGCTTTAAATCGAGATTATCCTTGTCTCTTGAGTTCTTAGCTGGTTAAACTAATTCAACTTTAACATTACCGATCATGTGAAATTCTACCACTCTTTGTCAAAAAAAACGTCCCTCTCAGTGCGGCTGCAGAAATGTATAATTACACCGATATGGATGTTATGTTGCAGCTTATCTGATATCACCCCCTGTGTGAGTGATAACATGTTTATACACTCCTCTGGGTAAGCATACTGAATCTTATATTCTTGGTTCTTTCGGTAAAGTCACGTAGAAGGGAAACAATAAAATAATAAAAATATAAAACAATAAAATTCTCACGATTTTCGATTGGAACACAAGCAATCATCATCAGGTGTGAAAACCAGTCACGAAAGCTTTAAATCAATATACTGAATCTTGCTGTGAATTTTTAAAAAATACCATCATGTAATTACAATCAATGCTAAACGAGGTTTGCATATTAACTGTGCTTGGAAAACAGAAGTAAAATATTTTTACACATGCTAAGGTTCAATTATTTTCTGCTCCTCACTGATGACTCAGTGCCCACATGACCACAAACATGTCGGCAAATCCACGGGTTAAGAAACAACAAGACGACACGGCAAGCAGTATTTTGCCTAATTTACATATGGTTTACATGATCTGCGTTTTGTGTTTTATCCAGGCCTCCCCTAACCCACAATACCCAGAGATAATTGAGAGTCGAGTGTAATGGCAAGTAAAGTCATACACAGGGAGGGAACGTGGGTTGGGGCGCACCTCAATCTGCAGCTTGGCGATGGTGCTGGAAATGCCTCGGATGTCCCCTGCCTCCGCCATCCAGCTCCACAGAAGTGGCAGCCCGTGGTATTCCAGGAAGTGCTTCAGGCAAGCTTGTGACTGTGTGTTCTGCGCACACAGAGCCATGCTTTCGCGTCAAAGTTCAATACCTGGCGAAGCGGCAGGTTGTAACAGCCTGGCACGCAAGTTTACAAGATGTCGAGCTATTGTACGAAGTTGTTGCAGCTGTTTGGTGGCCCTAAATAAAGCAAGAGAACATGTGTTGTATTTGTAAAATTCTCATTTTATTTTCTCAGAGTTAGACTGCAATGTGCACGGTGCCAAATGGTATTTAGCCAGGCATTGTGGCGCATGCCGGTAATTCAATATTTAATATGGAAAGGTTGGTGCAACCCAATAACGAGACCCTCTGGCATGCAAGGTAACCAGATGTTGAAACTAGAGCAGGTAGGCCCATTAACCCATCTGTGTGGTCCTTACAGTGTTCTCCCCTCATGTGTGGGTTCTCCTGGCACTGCAGTTTCCTTCCACATCAAAAACATTCTAAAATGTATTGGCCAGCCAGGCTTTTTAAAATAAACATTATAATTGAATCTTAGCAACTCCCAATAATAATTGCCCTTGCAATGGTGGAAACGATACACTGCTAGGGCTTAATTTCTTGCCGAATATTTTCCAGGCTGCTGGTAGACTGGAGTAGGTGGGGTATGTGACTAGTAGCCACAGCCCATAGCTCAAGGTATACTGTGTTGTACTAGGTGCTGAAATATATTCCAGGTTCCTGACCCAGAGCCGTTTGAATCAATCTCCATGTTACCACTAAACTAGGAGTTCGTGAAGACCACCTCACCTGCAGGATCTGTAAACAGGTGTGGCGTTGTTCCATGGTTTCTGTGCGCACCATGAGACGCAAGAGGCACAGCACATCCCGCTGGTGAGTCAGGCCCTCTCCGCTCTCCTGCAGGCTTTCCAGCTCCTCGTCCAGCTGTACAAAGCATTCAACAATTAGCAATTAATTGAATCCTCACATCGGTGTCATACAATCACCAACATTACAGCTTTTGCACATGAACGTTCGGGTAGCACGACATTAAAACAATGTGACAGTTAAAAATGTATCTCACCTTAATGATTGAAATGCTCAATATCAGTTAGCTTAGGTGAAGATATTCAGATGTTAGAAAAACCCATGTGGTCACAGTGCCATGAATATGCCCTAGTGGTTTTCTGTTGCAAGGCAAGTGCTTTATATAGCCATGAGATAAAATGTATGTCATGTTATGCAACCAACACACAGTGGGGTACATGCTCACATCATTTCAGTACCAATAACGTAAAGCTCACTTGGACAAAATGTTTGTGTAATTTTAGTCTTCACATTTTTCTGGAATACCATTGTAGTTTTCAGTATATATCGATTAAGTTTCCAGTGCATATATGAACCTCTGTAATTACTTTGTTGCCTTTCAATTTTGAGCATTACCTTTAAAAGCACAGATTCACAAGATGCATATAAAATTTTAAGTGGCAAATTTCAATTAAAGCCAGTTCACGAGGGCCACTTCTTAACGTTTTAATACGTATATGCAGTACATTTGAAGGTATTCCCAAATTGGCAACATACTATTTCAAGCAAGATTTTAATCACAAACCAATACTCATCATTTTGCACATTTCATTTGGTATATTTAGCCAATGACACAGTTTGGTTTAATTGTGTATTTATTGTGTGTACTGATCATCAATATTGAATAAAACACTCCAATGACTGCAATAGGACACAGCTGCTTATTCAGACATCTTCATTATGCACAGGCAAAAGATTCTGCATATTTAATGACGCATCTAGACCATTCACCGTGCCAGATAAAATGTCCAATATCGCTTTATTGTAATGCATTAACACCCAACTGGACCCATTGTAAAACAACATGCAAAAATACCGTGCAGTTAACTGGACCACATTCAACAAATACAAATGACCAATGTTACGTACTAATATAACTCTTATGGTCCACTTGCATAATTGCACTAAAACAAACACATCATTTCGTAAACACAATACACATCCATCAACACCCTATGCAAAAAGGGGAAAATCCATCTACATCTCTGATTCAAATGACTACAGCAATGATCAATAAGCTACTAGCAATTGATTGATAAGCAGTTCGATACAGCTTGGACTGCACAATGTACAATCGTCAAGTGCAAAAATTCCAACTGGCATAAATTAAATAAAGATAATGTAGATATGAAATAAGGAAGTTGCTTACACCATTTCTTACTGGCGGCAAACCGAAATAAAATGTAAATAAATTGCAAGGTTGCAAAACATAACTTCTAAATGGTTAACGGTAACTCAATGCACAAACACAAAATCGCCTTCATTACATTGCCAGTGGTTAGTTATGGCATTTCCATAAGAATTTAAATATACGTATATAAATATGTTAAATAAAAAATGTTTGTGCGTGGCAGCAGCAAGACAATACTCAGTGTTGTGATGTGCAAGAGGAAGTTGATGAACTTATTAAAATGCCACTTCCGCAAAAATGTGCACACGTTTAACAACGGCAAACACCGTCCCCTCCTCTTCCTTCACACTGCAACTTCTGACACTAGAACGTGCGAGTACTTAGAAAAGTTCCTCTCGGCATCGATGTTGTTCAGTGGAATGGACAGGCACGCCAAGGCAACACGCGAAAGTTCAGGGAACGTGTTGGACAGATTCCTCCAAAACAAAACTGGAGCGGTCGGCACAAAGTTGCTTAGGTTATCCAGGTACAAGCGGAGCTGAGTGTGACCTGCCACGCTATCCTCCAGCAAAGGGATAGCATTACAGATTTCTCTCAAATCAATTGGCAGGACCCTGGCTTTGGCCGGGTCAAACACACGGCAGGCAGACAGGAAGCGAGCGGCGGGCTGACTAAAGCAGCATGGGCTTTCAAAGTCCAGGTACTGCCGAAGCCGCGTGGCCGAATCGAAGAGGGCATCGGCTGCCGCCGTGGGTGCCAGCTCTGCGACAGTCTGTGCCCACAGTGCGAGATCACGCAGCTCGTCAAACACGCACGCCGACATGCTCCGAGTGCCCTCGCACTTCGCGAGCGTCTGTCTCAGCCTGGTGGTGTATGTGTCCAATATTTCAAGTTGCTCTTGCACGGTATGGCTCTGAGCCAACTTGATAATTCCCTCCATAACAAGGCTTCCGCTCGTCTTCTGCTCGCACTTGAAAAACTCTATGCAATCGTGAAGGTGTTCGCGAAGGTAATCGGCGGAATCGAACAAGGTGTTCCACCGAGCCATGACAAAGACTGGTGGAGTTGTCGGAGTCACGCCTTTACCTTTTAGGAAATTTCTGAAGCGGAACTTGCGTGCTGGACAAACCGTAAACGTGTTGTTTAAAGCGACAATCAGCTGATGGACCTCTTCAAACTTGTTCTGCCAAATCTCACTAACGAGACTCAATATGTGGGCTGTGCATGTCACATGAACGGCATTGGGAAAGATTGCCTTCAGACTCCTCTCCCACGCTTTGTAAATGTAAGTAGCGTGGTCCGTCACAAAAGCAGACACCTTATCAAAGTCGATGCTCGCTTTCTGTGTCGCCCTGAGCACAGCTTCACTAACGGTTTTGAAGTTGGTTCGTTCTAATACACGAGACTCGATCAAGTAGGCCTTCAACTCGGTCTCATCAACAAGGCTGGTACCTTCACTCAATAAGCTAGGCACTGCAATTATGTTTAATACGTAGCGATCATCGATGTCTGTTGTCTCGTCGGTGACAATGGCAATGTGACGGTACTGGCCGAGTTTCTCCTTGAGTTCCCTCATGTGAAATTCATACACTTTTGGTAGATACATGCTCCTCAACGCGGAGGCTTGCGGAATTATGCCAACAATCTTTAGGTTCTGCTCCAAAAATTTGTGCAAAACCGGATGGTCCATTTTGTTTAGAGGAATGTTCGCCGCGGCAAACGCCTGGACGAGCTGCAACACTCGTTCCAGCCGATGCGTTTCCTTTTCCCTCCGCTTTGCCAATTCCACCTCCGAAATGTGCTGCGCGCTTATCATCGCGGGGCCCTCGACCTGCTCGCACTGGTCCAACTTGTACTTGGGTACGGTAGTCTCCCAGTGCTTCTCGAGCGTGCTTTTCCTCATGTGCTCCGCAGGCACAATGTATAAAGGCATCTTGCCGTGAGCGTTCTGCAACACGTGCAAGCCAAGACACAGACGGCGCACGCTCAGCCTAAACGAACGATGGAATTGGCTCCACCCGTTACCACATGCTTTGCTTTCATGAGGTCAAGGGTCCAAAAAATGTGGGGGAAATGAAATGTTGACGCCAATGAAAATGCAAAAAAACACGAGATAATCATAGCAAGGAGGAAGGGTTATGGCAAGTCACCTTGTACTGAAATTAACTTAGGTGGTAATGGTTTGGCATGTTATAACAAGCTGATTTAGTTACCTCAGAACACTGAAGTATCATAATCTGTGTGTGTTGATGTAAGCTAAACGTGACTGTATTGTTATAAGTCACTTTTGCCTTGTGCTTATTTTTAAGGTTTGAATCGTACACAAAAAAGATGGGCAACATGAAAACACCGCAGAAAAACACCTAAATTCTGATTATCGCCACATGCTCACAAGGCTTCACAGGGCTGCTTATAGAAATACACCACCTGCAGAACGTCAAATACTCAGTGCAGCCCGGCAGTGTGCAACCTTGGGTTCTACTAGCTGGAAAGGGTCTGAGGCAAGGTTTTAACCAGTTTGCGAACGAGGGTAAACGAACGCTCGGCAACAACTCGGCAAACGGTTTGCCACGTACACGCTACCATGCCAACTTTTGCTCCCAAACAACGTCGTGTTCACGAATACGACGCAATACTTGCAAGAACGTTGGTATCACTTCGGCTAAAGTGACGTCACGTTCGCCAAGCTTCCACGTGACCCGTCTCAATGTGGCCCGTACTAAAACAAGGTTGCACACCCCCCCTTGTGTAGCCAAACAAAATTACATTAATTTCAACGATACTCACAGAGTCCTTTTTCCTCGCGCGATCCTTCTCCTTTGCCCGCTGACCCTTCCCCACGGATGAACGCACACTTGTGCGGTTCTCCCCGCCAAGCACCCCTCGGCAGTTGGCGGAGCCACAGAAGCATTTCTGGGCCTCTTTCCTGGATGGTGATAAATGGCCTCATGAGTCGTGTGCATCCTACACCTTCCCAATAATTAACTGAATGCCATTTGGATGAAGGACTCCCCATGCCGTGTTCGTCAAATTAATTGTTTGACCACACAGGTTTCTGAATGAGGCCTCAAACAGTTTCAGATATTATTCAAACAGTTTCAGATATCACGCACAATTGATGATAGTTGTAGTTACGAATTCAGGGGTGGGTTATTCTATTTCTTAACAAAACCCTGTCATTTCGATGAAGATCAAATTTAACTAATTTACATTTTTTTTCCTTTTCTGAAAATCGGTTAAAATACCCCAATTAAGCCACAAAGGACACTTCTGGATTGCACAATCCAACGTTTTAGAAGTTACTGTACAGTACTACACTGAAAGTTCCTGGCATGTGATGTTCCTGTGCAGCATCGAGCTAGCTAACAGGTCAGCATTGTTTTGAATGTGGTTCAATCTTTTCAGATTTGTGAATCGGATTAAAAATATTTATATATAAATTAATTCGTAAGCATCCCCCAAAAAAACACATTATATGCAGAAGGTATAACAACACATTAATTCAGGGAAACACTGTACAAAGCAAATATACGTACCCGTATCGCTGGAACTGGTAGTCGAAGGTCAACTCCGTGCCAGCAGGAACTAACCTCCTGCTAAAGAAGCCAACTCTCAGCTGACCGTTCACCGTCCACTGCAATATGACAACAGAGCATCCATCAAACATTTGCTCGCTCATTTACTGCAACCGTTATTTCTAAATACAGCAACACCTTGACTTCCGTCGCTTCACTCTTTCAGCCGTTTTAAATTATAACTACATTTCAAATTTCGTCCACGTGCTTTCCTCTTTAGTCCGATTTCATCCCAAACCTTCCACGACGTTCGCGCCACACGCCATCTTTATTATTCATTCTTTGACTAAAAGTCATTCAGTAAGCATCTCTTATATTTGCGTTTATTCATATATTAATACTGTACTTATTTCTGTGCTTATACTGTAAACAATTCAGTTATTTTTGTGATAACAGTGTCATACTACAGCGTTCCTAGTTATTTTCGTTATCATAAAACACATGTACAGTATTCATACCGTGCTTATTTTTGTGATTACAGTAAAATAATTATTTTTGTCCATAGGTTTTTTTGGGTTAGATCACGTAAATGTGTCGTTAAAACCCGCCACCACCCGACACAGCCAACTAATAACGGTTGTCACGTAAACAGAACATGCCAATTAATCACTAGAACAGCACGCCGGTGTGTTGGAGAGCCAAGCCACAACATTTACCATCTGATTGTTGGCTGTGTCAAGTGGTGGAGGTTTTAATGACATTTATATATTTAAGCGATCTAACCCAAAAAAAACCTCGTATGAATATTGGTCGCGAAAGCCTACGTATTAAACTGACTCATTTTTGTGCTTTAATATATTCATGATGGGTCCTAAGTGTGGTGATAGTAAAGCTAAAAGAACCCATAAGGTTTTCAAATTGCAAGAAAAGCTTGACATAATCAAACTTCCAGAGCAAGGCTAAATAAAGGCTCTGCTGTGACATTCGTCCATTTTTAACATTCGTCCATGTTCTGGTCCCTAACCATACGAAAGTGCAAGATATTCCTGTAGAACCATTTGGACCCAACCCTGCTCACCTTCACATCAAGGTCATGCAAATAATCTTATCACAATCATCCTGGGTGGGCTTAAAAGCAAGGCACGAAATGTATAAATATACTATGTAATTGAATGCCCGCTTTTTGTTCTACAAGTATTATGAAAGACTGACTCTTTACAAAGATCCCCCATATAGCATTTAACAGACTGTTGGGGCAACTGCTGTTAAGTGATCACTTATGAAGGCCAGCACAGCACATAAGGTGGTGGGTGGCCAGCACCGCACCCAGTCACATTTCCCCAGTTTTGATGTTTATACACCGCACCAGGTACTTATTTAAGGCTGGGTAAACCTTGGGGAGGCCCAGTAACAGTTCAGATATTCCTCAACGATGGTGGCTGTTAGGATAAAGAATTTAACTCGGGTCGCAAGGTTCATTACACAGTGCGCGATAAACGAAACTACCACTTCCCACGCTTAATATAGCACACACAAGCATTCAAATTTCTACAAGTAATGAAAGTCGTTGGTTTCATGTACACACCATGTAACATCTTATGTAATACACAGACGCTTTTTTCCTGTAACATTCTGCCCCTCTGGTTGTCTACTTGATCGCGGTGACGTCACACACTGCAACCAATCGGGGAGCCCGACTGGATTCATTAACATAATTGAATACTTAGCACCATCCCACACCGCTTGGAGTGTGTATGCGTGCATGTCACGAGCAGCAGGGCAGCGGTTAGCGCTCCGATGCGCTAGAAACCCGACAACCAGAGTTCGATTCCCTGCGCCTCGCTGACGTCGACTCGGCTTAAAGTGAGTACCCAGTGCAGTGTGAACATCGCCACTGGGGAGACAAAGGTAGCTGGACGTGGTGCTGGCCACCCACCCCCTTCGTGTGCCGTGGCGGCCTTCATCGGTGCTAATCGCTAACAGCACTTGCCCCCAACTATCTATTAAGGCTATACGGGGATCTTTGTCTTTGTGTCTTCAGAACAGACCCCCTTCGTATTTCGGGTTCCGTGGGTACCTACTAGTGTATATGTAGTGAGTTCAACTGAGTCGCAGACGTACTCTTGGAGGCAACACATTTATTAACACCAACACACGGGGTAACTGCCCCTTAAGAGAATAACAACTTATGGTGGTGACCACCAGGCTAACTACACTAACTACACTGTAACTAGCTACAACGGACCGGACCACAGCTTGGGTCCAGGTCCGCGTGTTGGAGACACTGTAGGACGTAGAACGTAGACGAAGGTTTCTTCAGGATGAACAACAGCGCCGGTCCCTCTGGGGGACCCGCCTTATATCCTCTGTGGCTGGCTCCGCCCTCGGCCACGACCACCTTCCAGAATCCTCGAGCAGAATCTTGACCCTGACACGTGACCACCACTAGCCCCCACTGGGGGCCCCCCCCGTGTAGACTTAACCGGTCACGTGTCCTCTGGGGTCAACCAGAGTGCCATGGCCCTCAGTAACCCCATTTCCATGGATGGCACTCCCACACCCTATCATGTAGGGGACGGCACTGCACGCCAAGCGTGGTGCCATCCAACGCTTTTGATCAGCGCTCACCGAGCCCCTCTAGGGCCGGTACTGCACCCACATCCTTGTGGTGTCCGCAATGTCAATAAACCGCACACCGTACCTCTCTAGGGCCGGCATTACACGGTGACATCCCGCGATGTCACTACATATATCATAACAAATTGGCAGGAAACTATTTTGTATGCAAGCTGCCAAGTCAGACATTTGTTCTTTGGACAAAATGTGCTATTATAAAAACATAACATATTCATCTTCTGGGTTCTTTCGGTAAAGTCACGTAAAATGGAAATAAAATAATAAAAACCATAGAATAAAATTCACGACGTTTCGGCTACAACACAACTAGCCTTCCTCAGGTGAAGAAACAGGACTGTCCGGAAGACAGCGCTTGAGTGAACCCTGCCAAGGTTGGAAGCGTCTTTTAGGCTGTGTGGGAAGAACAGAGCGCCTTGACAAAGGAGTTTACATATAAGTTAGCATGTAACTGGGGGATTAGCATGATGTTGGTGTGAGGGATTAGCACCACGGAGAGCGACGAGCTTTGTTCAGACGGACACGTCCATCTATGTACGGAACGGAGGAGGGGGGAGAGAAGTTTACATATCCACAGTAAATTAGCATGTAACTGGGGGATTAGCATGATGTTAGTATGGGCGATTAACACCACGGAGAGCGACGAGCTTTGTTCAGACGGACGAGTCCATCTATGTTCGGAACGGAGGAGGGGGGTAAGAGGAAACGGCCACGGTGCGCTGCTCTGTCCTGTGTTGCGTTATAACTATGCTATAAACTAGACTACTATACAATACAATATTATACCTTCCAATCTAAACTACATTGTATAATATCGTATCCATAGACAAACCCCACCCTTTGATTATCCAATGCGTTACTATACACTACCCTATACTTTAGACTATAAAATATTAGACTTGTAGTATTCCACTCTGTATTATTCTACTAACCCTACTGTATACCACACTGCTGTATATTCACTATACAATTATGGTACTATATATTGCCTTATGAATTATGTGAAACATTACACTGTTATACTATTTATTATTACACAAAATGCTGATGGTTCAATGAGCCACTCTGTCTACAGGAAAGCTACCCATACGGATGCTTACTTAAAACCGGATTCCCACCACCATCCATCCCAGAAGAATTCCCTCATCAAGACTCTATACCATAGAGCCCAATGCATTTCTGACCAGGAACACATTGCTAGTAAACTCAAGCACGTACACCAAGCTCTCAAGGCTAATGGTTACTCCGACTACACAATCCGCAAAGCCATCACTCCAACCATGAAGAAGGATCCTCTTGAGGAGCCATTCAAAACCATCACTTTACCCTACATTGCGGGGGTCACAAAAAAAGATCTCCAAAATCCTGAATAAACACAAGATCCAGGTCCGATTCAACACAGTACATAAAATCCGTGATCTGGTTCTGTCTGTAAAAGATGTGGTTCCAGACATACAGTACCCGGGCGTCTACAAACTAAGTTGCCTCTGTGGTAGCAGCTACATTGGAGAAACCAAACGACATATCTCGGACCGCATCCGTGAACAAAAGCAGACTTGAAACACGGTAGGACGAACACCTCAGCCGTGGCAGATCACTGTTATAATTAAGTGGGTTCACGTGACATTGACTTCTCCTAGACGGAGGTTCTCTGCAAGCCACCTGGCTACCATGAGAGATTCGTTCATGAGGCTATCCACATATACAAACACAGACAATTTCAACCGAGAAGATGGATTCCGGCTTAGTAACCATTGGAAAGACGTTATAAACCATATCGGTTCTTGATTGATTGTATTTTATGGTGACTTTCAGACCGCAGCCCATTCGCTGGCACTGCCTCTTAGTACCTTTCACACGACGGTCAATAGTTTAGTTTATAGCATTGTGTATATAATAAATAGTATAACAGTGCAATGTTTAACATAATTTATAAGGCAATATATAGTACCGTAATTGTATAGTGAATATACAGCAGTGTGGTATACAGTAGGGTTAGTAGAATAATACATAGTATAATACTACAAGTCTAATATTTTATAGTCTAAAGTATAGGGTAGTGTATAGTAACGCATTGTATAATTCGAAGGGTGGGGTTTGTCTATGGATACGATATTATACAATGTAGTTTAGATTGGAAGGTATAATATTGTATTGTATAGTAGTCCAGTTTATAGCATAGTTATAACGCAACACAGGACAGAGCAGCGCACCGTGGCCGTTTCCTCCTCTTCCCCCCCCTCCTCCGTTCCGAACATAGATGAACTCGTCCGTCTGAACAAAGCTCGTCACTCTCCGTGGTGTTAATCGCCCATACTAACATCATGCTAATCCCCCAGTTAGATGCTAATTTACTGTTGCTATGTAAACTCCTCCCCCCCTCCTCCGTTCCGTACATAGATGGACTCGTCCGTCCGAACAAAGCTCGTCGCTCTCCGTGGTGCTAATCCCTCACACCAACATCATGCTAATCCCCCAGTTACATGCTAATTTATATGTAAACTCCTCTCCCCTCCTCCGGTCCGAGCTCGTCGCTCTCCGTGGTGCTCATCCCTCACACCAACATCATGCTAATCCCCCAGTTACATGCTAATTTATACGTAAACTCCTTTGTCAAGGCGTTCTGTTCCTCCCACACAGCTTAAAAGACGCTTCCAAGGTTGGCAAGGTTGACTCAAGCGCTGTCTTCTGGACAGTCCTGTTTCTTCACCTGAGGAAGGCTACTTGTGATGTGGCCGAAACGTCGTGAGAATTTTTATTGTTATTATTATTTTTCTTATTTTATCTCCATTCTACGTGACTTTACCGAAAGAACCCAGAAGATGAATCCCTGCAGTCACGAAAGCTTTAAATCGAAACATAACATATTGTAAAACATCATCATAGCTGGCTTATAAAAACATATGCATACCTTTTGTGTTTCACAGTTGGGATCACAGCTGTGATTCATAAACCTTGAACAATTTCCTTTCAGCGTAGCGTCTATGATCTGTGAACATGATACACATGAGTAAAATACAAGGTATCACTGTAACACTTTGCATTTGCTCACAATTGCCTTGAATTTTCTTAACTGTGTGCAACATTCTGTCTTGGCGCACACCAGAACCGGCAGTGTTACCTCCTCATTCTTCAAGGCCATGAAGTAGAAGTGAATGTTCTTGTTGCGCGCGTACTCTTTGGCCCTCGTTTTGAACTCCTTGTAGTCAAGCACTTCACCACAGTACTCGAGAACAAAGGTGCCTCTGCACGTTCCAACAAAAAACGACCATTGGTGAATATCGGGGGGGGGGACCTTTATAGCCTTTTGACACTATTCACGCGGTGAGCAAAATACTACATATATCAGCTTACCAACACAACCTGAATGATACACAGAATAAATGTAATTGTGTTTGTTTCATTAAATTATTGAACCACTTATTATTTTAATTCACAACTGATATTTGAATTAGGTCTCGAAATGATCTAAACACATTTCCTCTATTTCATTCTGACTTCCTGGACCTGAAGATGCTTGAAGTAGTTTCAAGAGAAATGACGTAATTGCTAAATTTGTTTGCAAGAAATGTTCTTCAACCGATGATCTGAAATAAGTGGGCTCATTAACCGTTTGTACCATGTAATGTTACGTCTATTTCGTGTAGTAGAGGGTCTCAAGGTTGAAATGCAACCAGATCGCTACATGTCCTAACTATAAGAAAATCAATACTGGCTGTGAAAACCTACGTCTTAGGATCACCCAATACCAGTTCACCACGAACACATCTGATTGCTTATAGACTACTCACGCTTGTAGGTCTACGGAGGTGCGAAGGCCCCAGCCTTTCTTGTCCGTCTTGAAGACCTCCACCTTAGCATACTCGCGCTTCTGAAACCTCCGGTTGGTGCACAACTCTCCCGTTGGACAACGCGATGAGCTGCACCAGAGACAAGACACCATGACAACATATTCAACAATTTAATCCTCCAGATGAACACCAATGTGCAAGAGGCTTTTAGGAACTTTGGCTTACATTACTAAATTATTTACAGCTTGTCAAAAGCGGCGCAGCAGTTAGCATACTTTGCTATATGAAGCCACTAACTATAGTTCCGATGCCCAAGCACAGCTAACATCAGGAGGGGGGGGGGGGTGATACATGAACTTGGCAGCCCCTTCACCAATCCACACTGACCGTCATGGAGAACTATGGTCAATCACCATAACCAACAGGAGGCATTCATCTAACGGTGGATTAATAGGCCGTAAAAATTGGTTACATAGCAATACAAAACGTTAATTTATTAATTAAAGCCACAATTCTCAAAACAGTCAAGATAAATATTCAGAGCACTCATTTAAATAGTATATTTTGTATACGAGTGTCAATAAGATAAAATAAATGTTCTCACCATTCGATCATGAGCAGGCGATTCAGACAGTCCTCTCCGCACGCAACCAGTCCCTGTTCTCGCTCCTCCTCCGACATGGAACATTCACACTTCATTTTCTTGATGTCTCGATGAGATTTAGATTTTTTCCTGGTTTAAAAAAAATTAATTACAATTAGAGAAACATGGACATCGTGCTATTCTAGGAAAAAAAAAGACTGCCAGGACTTTCCAAAAAGCCCACATTAAGTGTAAATAAAAGCAATGCTGTCATCACAGGAGAAATAACTTAGAATTAAATCTTCAAAAATTACTATATAAAAAGCAGGTCAGCGCTAATTACGTACTTAACCGGGAAATATGAATTCCAGCATATAAAAGCAAAAATATGCAGTGATATATTTACAACTCCAGTATAATGAGTCCAAATAAACCGAAGCCAAAAGATAAATAATTTTCAATACCTTTCCGACAGATAATGGTTCTCTCCAAGAATGTCGAAATATGAAGGCATTCTTCCTTCAGCTGCCATCGCCTTCCACTTGGCAGCATCTTCAAAATTCTCCATTGGCCAATTGAGCTCCTCAAAAACCTCCGTCTGCTTATTGGTCTCCCCATCCGTGGTGCCGTCTAGTTTCGCATCTCCAAAGTCGGTTTCACTGTCAGATTCAGAATCCGAGATAACTCTTCTCCGGCGTGTTTTTGGAGTTTTGCCCTGCTGCAATTTTGACTCATCTTTCACCTCTTTTTTTGCTGTGTCGCGAGAAAAATTATTTTCATTTTCCTGTTTATTGGAGTCCTGCTCATTTTCATTACTTTTGTCTCTTTTGGAAGACAACTCCAGGTCACTGTTGGGTTTCTCGGTCTTAATTAAAGAAGGAACTTCCTTAATTAAGGACGGAACTTCTAAATTGTTACCCCGAGGGTTTGGGAGCAACGTCTTGTGTGCAAAGTTATTTGATGGTGCGCTGTGCAACATTTGTTGATTAAAAGGCATGGGTCCTTGATGGGGATGAGCCTGACCAGCAAGTAAAGCATTACCTCCAGCCATTCCAGGTCCATGCTGAAAATGCATGTTAATCATGTTCAACCCCAACTGTTGGTTGTAATACAACTCATCTTGAGAAATGTGATTTACAGGAAAGTCTGCCTGACAATAAGGTGTGTTAAATTGATAGGCTACCTCCGAGTACTGACACACATTCTGAGAATTTATAAAGAAATCCTGATTTGGTTTGGTTGTACTCCACCTATCTGGCTGCATTAGCATGTTGCCAGCTTGTTGTGTCGGGTTATTTATCTGTTGATGGCTGCTTTCATGGCTTTTCAATAAACCCGACTGAGTGTCAAAAGCTGGCCCAGAATTAGTTTTGGCACCAGTTTGTTCTTGGTGTGGAGCATGTCTACTCTCTGGAACCCAAGACTGAGTTTTATAACTGCCTTCTTGTTTTGTCGTCATGTGACTGCTTGATTTTTCTTCCATTGATTTTCTATCACTCACACCGCTTGCTGAATGTTGCTTAGAACTTGAACTCTCCGAAGTCTTATGACTACTGTGACGATTTTCTGCAGCGGAATTAGAACATGACGATGACGTTGGGTGTCCTGATTTGTCTCCCGAGTCGCGTTTTTCAGGGGCATCTCTTGAGTGATTCTGTGAAGATTGGCTTGATGTTTTACTAGGCTCATGATGTGTGGGACTTTGCCTTCTTTCGGATCTAAAGCTGGTGTGCCTATCACTTCGGTCCCTCGATCGGCTTCTGCCTCCTCCCCCTCCTCGTTCTTTCGAGTGTGCCCTGAGATTACGATCACGAGAATGACTTCTTCTGTCAGTGCGATCTCTCGAACGTCCTCTTGTCCGCTCAATAAACCGACCCCGCCTGTCAGTACGATCTCGAGAACGGCTTCTTTTGTCCAAGCGCTCAGTTCGGTCTCTTGAGCGGCTTCGGCGATCTGAACGGTCTCGAGATCGGCTTCGTCTTTCCACGCGCTCCCGACTCCTCCTAGCACGGCCTCTGGATCTACTTCTCCTGTCCACCACATCCCTGACTTTGTCCGACCGATTCCTGGACCTGCTTCTTCGATCCAAACGGTCTCTGGACCTGCTTCGTCTGTCTGAACGATCCCTTGACCGGCTCCGCCTGTCAGGCCAATCCCTCAATCTGTCAGACCGATTCTTTGATCGGCTGCGCCTCTCTGGACGGTCTTTGGAACGACTGCGTCGCTCTTGCCGATCTCTGGATCGGTCCGAGCGGTTCCTCGATCTACTGCGTCTGCTAGCTCGCTCCCTGGATCTACTTCTTTTTTCCATTCGATTTCGAGATCTGCTGCGCCGGCTTGCATGCTCTCTTGATCGGCTAGGTTTGCGTACGCGATCTCTACTCCGCTCCGTGCAGTCTCTCGATCGACTGCGGTCTGACCTTCGATGTGCATCAGACTTCTCTTTTGAGCTACCTCGATGGCTTACACTTTCTTGTGCCTTGCTTTGTCCAGATGAACGATCCTGTGATTTTCGCTGCCTATCAAGTGAGTTGCGTTGCCTGCTGGAAACGTCTCTGGACCCTTGTTTCCCATCGCCACTTCTTTCTGACCTTTCCTTTGAGCTACCCTGCACATTTGTTTTTTCTACAGTTCCTAACACTTTACAGGAAGTCTCTTGTTTTTCAGACTTCGTGTCAGATTTTGACACAGACTTGTGCTGCATTTCCAGGCCGTCTTTACTACAAACTTCTTGCGTTTGTGATTTTACAATTTTGGAATCATCTTTATTTTCCTGACATTTTTCACTAATAGGATGACTCAAGGTACCAATATTAGACGTTTGCAAAGGGTCAATTTGTGCTTCATCTACAATATCAATGGATTCGCTTTTAACAACAGAAGGATCATTTCCAGATGTATCAACGCTTTCAATTACAACCTCCGTACTTTGCCCAACATGTTTTTCATCTGCTGCTGGAGTCGAACAACCATTTTCACCTGATGGTGTTGAGATGTTCACTTCTAGTGTATCCAGCTCCTTATTTTCCACATCTAAGGTCTGTTTGGTAACACATGGAGTTGGTGAAATTTCATTCACATGAACAGTCTCTTTATCTATTATGGATGTGGTTTTTTCATAATCAATTACGGAAGTATGTTCAACATTTGTAACGTCATCAGATGCGTCAGCCATCTCTGTATCTTCCAAATCATCCTTATTTATCTCTTTCTCTAACTCAACATGATCCTGTTCTTGAGACTTCTCGACTGTGTCATTATTTTCATCGGGTTCACACGTCCCCTTGTCTTGCTTATTCTGAAGTTCCTCAACATCAACACCGTGCATTTCTTTGTTTTCACTAGTCTGCTCAGTGTCTGCCTTGCTGCTATCCAAGTGATGTTCAGCAACCTCATCGTTTGTGGGTTGGCATTTCGGACTCTCGCTCCCATCTGTAGAGTCACTTTCGGTCACCTTATCGGACGTCTTGTGCATTTCATCCACGTCACTGCTGTCTTTGGAACTGCTATCACTCTGATGCACAATTGAAAGTGTGCGACCGTCACCTTCGGCAGCAGCTGCTAGTGAGGTTGCAGGAACGACGACAACTGACTGCAGCTTCACTCTGGGGTACCTGTACTCCCCATCGCTTTCATCTTCTGAATCGGACTCTGTATCAGATTTGTGCGTGCTTTCGTCATCCATGCTGCAAGCCGAAGGAAGCGTGGGGTCAGCTTGAACAGAACCTGTAGGGCTGGACATTCTACTGGCTGAGAGAGAATGGCTTGAGCAAGACTCTGTCATATCTTTCTCATCATCGGCCTCTTCATTGCATTTTGGACTCTCGGTTACACTAACGTGCGGCTCAGGAGGAACATCATTTTCTGTACTCATCTGAAATTGCACAGGTTGATTTAGTGAAGTGTCATTATTTTTCTCAATCGAAACACACATTTCTTGTGAAATTACGTCAACCTGCGTAGGCTGTTTAAATTGCGATGAAGAAATCACATCCGAGCATGCAGAAGCTACGCTGGCTGTCTTGTGTTCGGGCTCAGAATCAAGCACTGCTTCTTTACTTTCGTCAATAATGCTCGCGTCTACAACAGTGGTGGGCAAACAAGACTGCATAGTTCCCACTAAACTGTCAGATGTTTTTGGTGCCAAAACGTTTGAGCTCAAAGCATCTTTATTTAAGGGACTGTCTATGGTCTGTTCTACAGGCTTTTCAGCATCTTTTGGTATGTCCCATCGACTGGCCTTCCGTTTCACCTTTTGTGATTGTACATCAACCTTGATGTTCCTATAAGAAACAATTTTGCACCTTTCACTGTTTTGTAAAACCTCTATTATTTGACCGCTTTTCTGAGCATTTCCAGTCTGTTGAGAATTACTTTCCTTCGTGGTTAATGTTAATTCTGTAGCATCTGGAGTGTCCTTAACTATAATCTCAGCTGCTATGACGACACTGGACACTGGCTGCACTGGAGTCAATTCAGAATCTGAAGATATTTCAGCCAGCACAAGTTTATCACCCGTTTCGGCTGCTTCAGTGTTAACGACAGCTTTGGAAGTCTCATCGTCACCACCACTCACATCCACGCCACCAGCGTTCGCACCATCAGGTTTCTGATCAACTGATCTGGCAACATTTCCAATCAGGTGCGCCTTCTTGTAATGCATTTTGTTCCATTCAATTTTGAACTCTTTTGGAGGTGTAAAACTTTGGCTCAACTGAGCATCAGGACTCGGGAGGTCCCCTTCGCTCCCCACCGCGGGCGCTTGCGATGAAGTGCTTGGTGCGTTCATGTCAGAACCCTCTTGAGTCGAGAGGCTCAGATTTTTCTCCTCCCACAGATTCTCAGCTTCATTGGCGATGGCGAGAGGTCGCAGCTTCAGGATCTTGTTTGGCGCGATGCTGAAGCAGATCTTTTGTCGGCTCTTGTTTTTCAAGTCAATTTTGGAGTTCCGCACTGCACCCGTCCTTTGAGGTGCTTGAAGGCTGGCTGCCTGAAGCCCGGGTGTCGGTCTGCTCTGTACAGGCACACTTGGCGTCGGCTCAGGAGATAGCTGGTAGGTTTGCAATGGTGCAGAGGGGCAGGATACAATAAAAACATGAGTACAGAGCAGTAATTTATCACCAAAAAAAAACAATCATTAAAAAATCATCAAGCCTGCAGTGTCATATTAAGAACATTTTTGAAGTGTAAAGATGTGAAAAGTGACAGTTGAGTTTGTGGTTACCTCTATATCGTCTTCTCTAAACAATATCCAGCAACCAGGAAGGAGCAAGGGCAAGGGAGACAAATATGAGCAGATCAATTATACAGGCAGTTACAGCTCGAGGGCAATCCAACGTCATACACATATGACAAAAAGAATACCAACAGATATTCTATACAGAAACAGGTAAAATCTACGTACCAACTCATATACAGTCAAGTATAGGGTACACCAGTACAGCATACAGTTATGAATGAAATTGGAATTCTCTCCACCTTCATCAACTTGCACCGACCAGCGTGGGTGAAGTATGGTCAAAGCACTTACAGAACCCGCACGGCATGGGGAGGTCATCATCTAGTAGTGGATTAACAGAGCAGTACATGTAAACATGGGGTACACACAACCACATTCAGATGTATATCTTAACACCCATCATAAACAGTACACAGTGCATGCAGTATATCTGCGGTCACATTTATTTTATATACGGTACGCAGAACGTACTGTACATAACATGAAAAACACCAAATGTTAACCTAGAGAACATATACAATAACCGCATCCCACGGCAAAAAAACATTTAGGCATGTACAAATTAGCAAGCTCCTACTAAAAGCGATGCAACAACATACACACAGGGTGTGGCCACGACCACGCCCAGCCCCCTTTGTCTTCCCAGTGCTGGTGTTGACCATGCACCATGCACACGTTTTTAGGCTGTGTCAACCAAAGTGAGAGGGCCCTTACGGGCTCAGGATAAAATGCATCAGCGGTCAGTGATACAAATTGGCTTCTAACCCGGGTGGGCAGGTTCAATGCAGTAACCCACTCTGACCATACGTATACTGTACACACACACGTGGCCATAAGTGCGTGTATACATATATACGGTACTGGTGTATACGCAGAATGCGTATGCAATTAATTAAAACGTGTACACACATGACACGATGTATGCCATAGTAACTGTACTAACGAATATCTGGCCTCGGGTTTAAAAAGAAAATCGTTACGTACGAGCGAGGAGGGAGCGACGGATATAATGAGCCGTAAAGTCACGGACCACGCGGACAACACGAACGAACGCGAGGCAGCAGATCGTGCGAGCCACAGCTCCAGCACACAACAGCAAGGGCGACCAACAATCCGCACAAACAACAAAGACTTACACGAGTGCAATGACCACCACACACGCACACCGCGACGACGTCGTTACAGAGGCCCCGCGCTAGTGGCGGTGCAACGACGCCGATCGCACCGTGATGATCATCGCCATCGCCACAGCCACACCGTGATCGCCACCGTCACCACCACTCGCCACCGTCGTAAATACCGGGTGGACGACACTGGCTAGGGGGCGGCGTCCGTGGTGTGCGCCGCCATGCCGAGCAGCAACTATGGAGTCTGTCCGCTCCCACGTGATCACATCGGGATTTAAACAGCGAGGGGATCAACAGCGAGGGAGCGAGGGAGGGGGTAGAGGGTGAAGGAGGGAGGCTGGAACAGCGAGGGGATCAACAGCGAGGGGTTCAACAGGGAGGCAGTAGAGGGTGAAGGAGGGAGGCTGGAACAGCGAGGGGATCAACAGCGAGGGAGGGAGGGGGTAGAGGGTGAAGGAGGGAGGCTGGAACAGCGAGGGGATCAACAGGGAGGGCGGTTTAACCTCGAGGTAATGCTTGAGAGGGGTACCAGCATGAGAGCAGGAGACGAACACGCAGGTCGAACTGCGAGGGGGAATGGGCGAGGGGGATTAACAGCGGGGCAGGATGGAGGGGATGAAGCGGGGACGGGGCGGAGATAGGATACACACCGAGGGGATGAAGAGAGCGGGGGGGGGATAACCGCGAGGTTAAGGGGAAGACGAAGAGGTGAACACGCAGGTCGAACGGCCTTTGGAGCAAAGGGGGGACGGGGCAGAAAAAAAAACACACACACAAATTAACAGAGGTCATAATGTGCGTGGTGATAAATTATACCGGGGACTTAACGAGGAGAATGAGAAGAACGGCGAGGACGGGGTGCAGGTTTGGACGGGCAGCAGCGAGAAGATGAGCGACGGGATGAACAGGGGACTCGTGGGGAGGCAATGGGGAGGATGATGAGGAGGAGGAGGGGGAGGAGGGTCGTCGGTGGGGGTAGGAGGAGGAGGGGGGGGCATGGCCGACGGTGAACAGCAGCGGGCGCGCTGCCTCTTTGTTTTCTCGGCCCGCAAGTCTCCAGGCCCACGCGGCAGTTTTACGACAGCAGCAGCGGCGGCGGCGGGCATCGACAACAGCTATCGTCGCAACAGTGACTCCCACCACACAGCAGTTCCCTACACATACCATCGGCAGCAAGAACAGCTGCACAAGTACCAGTTGTAGCAGCAGCAATAGCAGCAGCATCAGCAGCAGCGCGTAATGGCCACGCAAGCGCCATGTTGGCTGCGCCGGTGGAGGAGGAGGAGGTGGTGGTGGGGGTGAGAGGCGCAAGGGAGGACGGGGAGACTTGGCCGGCATGCCGAGCAGGAGACACACAGGCGGGCAGCAGCAGCAACAGCAGCAGGAACAGCAGCAGGAGCAACAGCAGCCTCCTAACCCCCACCCCCACACAGCCATCCCGAGGACGGCTGCTGTGTCCACACACCCCCCCCCCCCCCCCCCGGAAGAGTCAGTCGCCGTAGTGGTGGGAGAGTTGGCGAGGAGGGCTCTGGACACACTCACCAACAACAACAACAACCACCACCACGACGACGACGATGACCATCGTCGTCAGCAGGAGCCGGCTCGCCGCTTTGCTTGGGAGGCAGTGGGGGGGACCTTCTCTAGGAAACCCCCTCCAGTTCTGCGTGGCGACCCCTGCGCATCACTTTGTTGGGCTGGGGGCTGTTTGGTTTTGCCGATCAATGGCATGGAGGATAGGGGGGGGGACAAGGAAGCTTCGTTGTCTCGTCCTTAGCGAGTGGCGCACACGTAATCGTCGTTGTTATTGTTGTTGAGACTTAAATACCAACAATGTAGCGACAACATCTGGCGTTTGATACTGATATAAATGGTCGCGTGACACGCATGACCAGACAGAATAGCAGATGATGCGGAGATGTTGGTGGTGTAGATGCAGAGACGCTGGTGGAAGAACTGTATAAAAAATATAATAATAAAGGTAAATGCTTTTGAAGTTGAAAATCTAATGTTTTTCTAGAGATGGTGGAAATGAGCGTTTTGCAAGACACGACCCTGACGAAGCCTATTTCCGAACACTCATTACGAAGACCCCCCCCCCCCCGCCTCCTGTAGTCGCAGATTGTAGGGGAAAGTGTTGTTAGCGAGCACCTATTAAGGGCGGAACAGTGTGCGAGGGGGTGGTGTGGCTAGCACTCCAATGTTGAGGTTTAAACATCGCAGTTGCTACTTATTTAAGGCTGTGTCCATCTAAGGGAGGCCCAGGACCGCTGCAGTTATCAGTCGCCACTGATGTTAAGTGGCCTGAAAACAAACTCAGGTTTCCGAGTTGGCAAAACACACTAATACTCAGTAATATGCACCTAGACTCACACCCTCAAGCAAACCTATATGCATACCTCATTCACAAACATACACACGCCATCTACGCATATCGTACATACATCACATTCGCACTCATTTACACCACCTTGGTAATGCTACACAACTGGGCCAGCCCAGCTTCTCGAAAAGCAAAGACTCACCTGGAGTCTTTAAGGTCCCATTAGAAAAATCCGTTCCCTAGGCCGAGCTCAGGGGTCGCATCAATCTGGGCTAAGTGGCAACTTAAGGGAACGCTACCTTAATGTGGTAGGCAACAACATGACCCGTCGTGGTGGCCGTGAGAAGATGCGATCACGTACAACTTAAGAGGGACACGTGGAAAGGCCTCGGTCCTCAAGACATGTTCTAGACGATACGTGAAGACTTAGCTCCTCAAAAAAGGTGCCGATTGCTGCTAAGTAACACGACTGCAACACAAAGGTGCACATCTTCTTTCTATACAGCAGCTGCCACTGCTACAGATACTGAGGCCACGACTGGCATTGCTGCGATTGCTACTTATACTGCCCCAGCTGCTTTTGCGCATGCAACTGCTGTAATTGGCATTGTGCTGTTGCATTGCTGGTACTGTTGAGCTGTCGCCGACAGTGCCACTGCTGCCGCCGACAGTGCCACTGGCTGAGGCCGACAGTGCCACTGGCTGAGGCCGACAGTGCCACAGCTGCTGCCGCCGATAGTGCCACTGCTGCTGCCGCCGACAGTGCCACAGCTTCCACTGCTGTTGTACCTGAAAGGAAGCCCCCGTGAGCGCGCCCACCCCAGCGCACTACTTACTCTGTGGGATTCAGGGGGTCGTAGATGTCCCCCATGTTGCCTCCGCGCCTCCTACTGCTCGGATGTCGGGGCCGAGCTCCTTTCCCCGTGGCTGTGGCGGCGCGAAGGGTTCCCGGCCCGGCTCCGTGGCATCTCCCGGACGCAAATGACTCGGGCCGGGTTGGCTCACATGCTGCGCCGTCTCATGGTGGACCGAACTATCCCAGTAACTCCAACAAACACGCGCGAGCCTCCTCGCTCTCTCCTGCCGATTTCCTCGACCGCAACGCCGGGGAGGAATTTAGGCAAGACCGTGGGCTCCACGGGCTTGAGCTAGGCCACGGCACACAAAGCGCAGACTCCGAATCGCAATGACCGCCACGCGTATATTTCTGACGATTTTTCTTTTAAAATAAGCCGGTGATATATTCCAGTCTGTTTAAAATGTTAATAAAGCATCTGAATGATTTAGAGGGAATTTTTATTTTAATCTAAAAGCGCGCACACACACACGCACGCGCTCTCTCGCCCAGAGTCGCTTGAAGGGCCCTCTCTTTAACCAAGAAACGATTACACTCCACCCCCCTTCCCTCCCCGCCCCCCCCCCAAAACAAACCTCTTCGTCGGTGAGAACGAGAAACAAGCGCGGCTGAGATATCGAGGTCAATTGCGGTGAAGTATGGTGGAAAGGGCACGGCGAGCGAGGGAATTGAGGAGAGAGCGCAGCGGTGGTGGTGATGGGGGGGGGGGGCTGCAGCGCCACACGAGGCCCCGGCGGTCGCCAGCTGCTCGCGCGCTCGCGCACGCGCGCGCGCGGCATCCGGGACCCCGTGACGTCACGGGAATTCCTCCCCGCACGTCACAGACGACCGCCGAACTCCCAAAACTCTTTTGGGAGGATTCAATTAAAACTTCGACGTCGCTTTATTTTTGTTCACCGATGTAAAGCATCTCCCCCCACCCACCCACCCTTCAATATATACACACACACACACGGCTGATCATCGATTATCCCGCTTCTAACGTTAATCCGGCAGTCCCGGGCGAAACCGGCAAGACCGTTCCAAAACGCGATCGGGCACCATGTGGCATGACAAACAAAACGGTTTCGGGTGTTAAATATTATACACAGTACATTATACGCTACATACAACTTAAATAATTAAAATACTGCACGTATATGTATATATAAATGTACCCCATGCAGCCTTCGAGATTGGAGGGGTAAGTACGGTACAGTAAATACACTTATTACGGTAGGATTTTTTGTGGAAATTTATGCCAATTTTATATAGTAACCAAATAAAAAAACATATACAACACCTAAAAACAATGTTATCCAATAATTTGCAAAAGCTATTTTAAATGATGCAATATCCGGCGTTTTAAAAAATCCGGCTCCCCCCCGAATATTAGATAATTATCTAATGTAGCTCTTTTTCAGAAGCGACCTGGCTATAACACATGATAGCTCAACGAAGTGGCTTATCGTTTGCAAAGGTAGAACAGCCAGAATGCTCCTAAGCGCATGCTTCTAAATGTGGATGGAAAAAACGGAGGACCTGGAGAGAAATCCACGCGACCACGGGGAGACACCGCAAACTCAAAACATTCAGCAGGCATCAAGGTCGAGTTAGCACCCACGGCCTCCTGTATACCTGGCGAGGGAGTTAACATCTCGCCAACCCCGGCGACTTCCGTTTTCTCACCTGCCATGGTTCAATCCACTGCTGGATGATGGCATCCTTCAAGCCGCCACCATTTCTTACGAGCTTGTTGCGATGCAATGGAATATGTACAGCCGTTTTGGCCAATGACCCTTCTTCACAGCATACAGAGGCCAGATAGATTAGAGAATTAAGAGTTGTAGACGACACTTTACACCGCGGGGTCTACACAGGGTGCTTAACAAAAACACTTCTGAGAATTTGCAACAATACCACAAGAAATGTCCCTCCGGGATTTGGCATGTGTTGACAATGATGGCGAACACGTGCAGACTGACTTTTTGAAGCTATTAACATACATTTGTTATCATGTTAGTGTATTATCCATTCTTTTTCCATTAAAAACGATAGTCACATGTAAGTGTTAACATTTTTTTAAGCACCCTGTAAATAAGATGCTGTCTCCAAGACGTTGCTTAATTGCTTCTTATTCTTTGGGTCTTTCGCTAAAGTCACGTAATTAGGTTTAAAGAAAAAAAACTATGACGTTTCGATCACAACACAAGCGATCGTCATCAGGAGGAAAGCTTTAAGTCACGGAAGCTTTAAGTCAATAATTAATGCCTCTTTTAAGGCAGTGTTATTAGCGAATTTTTGTTTTAATATAAAGGGAGGCAGCCCGTGCCTTCTGACGGAATTCAATTCGCATTTTCCTCCAACCGTGACTCTGCTCCCTCTCTGATCTACCCCCCACAACCCATTCCCTTGGTCCCGAATAGCCTATTCCTGTGATTACACAATTCCCAGCGTATGGATTCTTAATTGTAGCGTAATTCGCTTCCCCGTGTTATGTGACTAAAATACAACCTCCAAAGACGTGTAAATTCGACTTTACACCTCATGTTCACGAGGAATATAAATTGACAATGAAAATGTTGTTAGAAATAACCTCGTCCAAACCATTATAATTGCACCGCGAGGTATATTTGGTCATGTGACCAGGTTGCGTCGGGCATCCTGTGCTGTTTGCTCTCGTTCACATTTACTCTGTCACATTTATTTTACAGATACAATGTATCTAAATTTTTCAAGAACATCAGAAAAATATATTCAGCTTTCAGCAGTGGTAAACACAATGTAGTATTTTAATTGATTATAGTGTGCTGATCTTCAAGGGCACATTAAACATTTTTGATACTCCTGCTGATACTCTTGCTGTTATAAAGTGACTCATGCATGCCAGCTATGGCTGCAAAGTTTGGTCGTACATGTTATGTATATAGTTTATTGTTAAATTTGAATCACAGTTCCTATGATCACTGTTACATTGTTTTATAGCTTTATTTTGGTGATTTCGAAAACGTATGGTTTAGCCATGTTTGTTTGTTAAAGTACAGAATTAGCCTGATAACTTTAATATAAATTGTCTTATGGTTGTTATTGTTTGACTTGCATCCCACTGGGATTTTCGCATACAGCGTTGATAGTTTTTTTCTTGAAGACTTTGCCGTTTTTTCCTGGCTTTTTCTGTTGCGCAGTCACTTTAAGATGTTCTTTGTTCATGTTTTTGTTTAATGCGGTTGCACCCGAGTAAAGAGCCGCATGGCTCACAGGGCTATACCTAATAAATGAAACTGAAATAACGTGTACTGTAAATGCAATAAATGTGTACTGTACTTAAAAAACATGTACAAAACCTGTTTGCAAGTGGGGTAAAAAGACAGTTGATCCGTCCGGTCGGGGGTGCATAACAACCACAATGTTGAGTCACTGACCTATAATTATTGAAATAGTATTCTTGTAGGACGTTATTGGATATTTATTAACCCTATATCCCACTCATTATCCAGCACGTGTAGCAAAAAACAAACCACCTGTACAAAATTCCAAACGGCATTCATAATACACTGCAAATCATTACAACACAATACAAATGGTATTAATTTTTTTCATTAGTTGAATTTATTTGGACCACTTTGAAACGTGTACGTTATGTTCCTTTAAAAGTAAGCCAATCACTGACAGAACAGTTACATATGTAAAATCTAAAACAACGAGAACATTAAAGTGCAAGTCCAAAGGCACGGTTAAACAAGCGTAATAAAAAAGAAATGTTAAACCACTGGAAAGTGCATTTGTTACTTTACTTCCCAAAATGCAACTTGCAAAAACGATGTACTGCACATGGCCATGTATAATTGTTGGATACGTACATGCATCTTCTCTATGAAAATAATAATACACTTGTTTGTCTGCAACGCACCGGGGACAATGGGAAAGCTAACACAAAATTTGGCCGGGTGGTGAACAGGGGGGGAGGTGGCGGGGAGGGGTTAGATTGGGCTGGGGTGGAGGGGAGGGCCGATGACCTCAGAGACACTCGGCTCTTGGGGAGAGGAGTACTGACGTCAAAGGAAGGTTGGGGTAAATGTGTGAAGGGGGGGGGCGTTGATGACGTCACGGAACAAGAGGGAAGGTGACGTCACGCGACACTGGTGAGGAGCAGAGGTGTGATGACGCCACGATCAGCATTGTTGGCTACGTGCGGTGCGAAAGAAGTTCAACATGCATGTGCATTGGTGAAGGGGGGGGGGGGTTAGACGTCACGCGACATTGGTGAGGTGTAGAGGAGGGAGTGCCGTTACAACACACACATTCGCCTTTGTTTTATCGCCCAAGTTTTCCTGCTCGTACATTACAAGATAACACCCCTGCTAACGGTCACACATACCGTGTCAACCCACACGGGTTAACCCGTGTTCTTGTGCAGGGAAATTGAGTTTTCATGTCCATACGGCATACAGCCGTTTTCAATAGGGGCAAACCATTTTTTTGTCTATCTGTTTTTCTCCTTTGTTATGGGACTTTGTAGGATGCATGTTAAGATTTATAAGGGCACAATAAGGTGTGAATTGGTCTGTAACATGGTAGGCACTGATAAGGGGTTGACAGGTATGGACGAACAGGATGCAAACATGTTTGTAAGTTACCAGATGCGCAAGTGGTTGGTTTGGAAAGCGTGGTTTTTGTATTGCAAGGCACGGGGCTATGGGTTTTCTGGTGTTGTCTGTAGAGTTTTTTACGTATAGCCCAATCGTGCTGCTGAATTTAACCCTGAAAGTTGCTCTGGGTTCTGCTTTCATTACACTAAACCATGTGCTTTCGTCTATGTGTTGTGCCGAGTTATTTCAATTGGACACTAGGAAATTTGTAGAAAAGTATGATATACAGATTTCGCCAGATCCTCTCTTATTGCAACAATGTATTATCCTGGTAGTCATCAAAATGTAAAAAATAATCACCAAATGGTGATTATTTTTTACATTTTGATCACCAAATGGTGGTCGTTTTATTTATTTATTTTTGTTTAATATTTTCTGTGGTATCCAGTCATTTAATTAATCGACAGAAACCTTTCCCTCCATTGTAGAGAGTTTTTAACATGTTATTTGTTGTCAACCAACCAGGATGAACAAGACAGACGGCTGCACTCTATAGAATGATTGATATGAGACATTACCCGCTTCTCAGGAGCCTTACTGCACTGGCCAAGCTCAAGGAGATTTATGAGCAACTTAGGCTGCGGTGATCGCATGGTTTCTGGCATCCTACGTGTGTGTGGAGTGTATATGTAGCTCGGTAGATTATCCTGCGTAGTTGAACCTTGCTGTTTTTTTTTCTGGTCTCTGCTTGCTGCAATAAATAATGAGCTTATGTATCTTGAGTTTTTCTGAGTTATTTCTTTGTTATATTTGTGTAGTGACATTTCGGGATGTCACTGTGCTGTGCCGGCCCTAGAGAGGCTCTGTGAGCGCTGGTTGATAGCGCTAGGTGGCACCACGCTTGGCGTGCAGTTGCAACCCTACAGGCCACGGCACTCTGGTTGACCCGAGAGGACACTTGACCGGTTAAGTCTACAAAGGGGCCCCAAGTGGGGGCTAGGGGTGGTCACGAGGTAGGGGTCCAGATCCTGCTCGAAGATTCTGGAAGGTGGTCGTGGCCAAGGGCGGAGCCAGCCACGCCGCAGATAATATACGCCGGGTCCCCCAGAGGGACCGGTGTTGTTGTTTATCTTGAAGAAGCCTTTGTCTACGTCCTACGTTCTACAGAGTCTCCAACACGTGGACCTGGACCCGAGCTGTGGCCGTTCCGTTGTAATAGTGAAGTTAGCCTGGTGGTCACCACCATAGGTTGTTATTCTGTTAAGGGGCAGTTACCCCGTGTGTTGGTGTTAAATGTGTTGTCTCCAAGAGTACGTCTGCGACTCAGTTGAACTCACCACATTTGCATTCATTAATGTAATAATACAGCCTTGGTATCTTTTTGAAGGTTTCAATTGGACATGGTAACATTGCATGGGATAAAACACATTTCCGAGAATTGTGGCCAGAGTAAACATCAAGATGCACAGACACTTTATAAAAAATAACTTTGATTATACTTTGCTTTTACTGATCAATTGTATAAAGATATGTTTGCAAACATTGTACAATGTCATACTAATTATTTTGTGAAATTACTCCAAAATATGTAAAAATCATTGTTTCAATGTAAAGTAGTGCTGGATAAATGCCTTGCATGGATATGACTAATGTGGCACTATAATCTGTTTGGGCAGTCTATTTCCAACTGCACATGTGGGTATGTTGTCTTCCTTCATATTTTTTGTTTGATTTTGGGCAGCAGCTTTGGTATAATTGTGCTAGAGACCAGAGACAACGAAAATTAGCACATATACTTCTTGAATACAGTATCTGTGAAAACATTCTTTAATTTTATTACACACCCTGAAACTTAGATGTTGGATAACTTTAAATAGTTATTCAAATGTTATTTTTAAAAGGCATAAAATGAGATTTAATAAAATCACTGAACATAAGAATTGAGCCATAAATATAACATATGATCATAATATTATAAATGGCAATTCTGGACTATATACATTGATAACGCTTACCTTTCTCTCTATGCGGGCCTTGGCTTCATAAAAGGCCATAGCATCAGGATTTTCAGTCATTAACTCCACATGAATTCTTTCAAGCTTTTCTTGCTCTCCTTCCACCTGTAGAGCATATTCAATCATGGGGGTTAGGGTCTATGAGAACCAAAGCTTGACTACATATGGCCGATTATGTCAGTAGGCATTTTTTTCTTTCATATAAAATCGACAAAAATATAATGAACGTTTACAATTTAAAGACTCGAAAATACACTTTCAGTGTATTAGTACAATAACTCTGGCTAGCGGACTATTTACCAATGGCTGGGTTTTGCCAACAGCTGGGTGGGCGACCACAGGTGTGGCTGTAGTTATGGAATTAGCAGGCGCATTTTCTGAAGGCACCTGGTATGCTTCAGCATACCACGTCCCAAATTCTGTAAAAACACATGATAGATTACATATATGACAATTGTATTCAACTCAATGTAACACAAGAAAAACATCTACCACTGCAAATTAACTTTTCCACTGTGTCCAAACTGTATATTAATTACTCAAATAATTTCAATGAATTAATAGTAAGAAATAAGTACGTTTTCATCAATATTACTCTGATTATGCTATCAGTGTAATTACTGCAAAAGCAATTCAACCATTCATGTTACAGAATGGCCCACTGGAGGCAGATACCAGAGCTAATTCTGAAATCCCTTCATATGGCCTTTAAATCCCAAAATAGAGGGCATCACGTTTCCACCGACTGCAAATAAGATTAATGTCATATGGCAGTCAACCATATTTGTAAATAAAATTGAGTGCAGAACCAATTTCAACATGGTTTGTGCAATCATGGTGGCACGGTTGAGACAATCAACTCTATACTTGAGAACCCAATTTAATCACACAAGACTGCCTGGGTTTTAACTTAAAATCTCAACAATGTCAGCTCATGTCGCCCAGTCACCTCTACAATGAAAGACAATGGAGTTTTTCACATGGTGCCCCTGCCTTCATAATGGTGCGTGCAATGAAACATGTAACATGGCAGCAGGTCATACCAGAGACGAGTCTCTGGCGGCACAGGTTGACCTGATGCTGGCACCACTGCACTTCAGCCTTTATGTCGCGCAGCTCCTCGTAGTGCAAACGGTACTGGCTTTGGAGCTCGCGCATGCGCAGCAGAAAACAATATTCCTCCTCGTCAATCACCATCTGACCCTCGCTGCTCATAAATTCACCTGGCATCAATGCCATACACAAGCACATCTACATTAGGCTCAGTATGTAAATGTCATTAGCAGAAGTGCCGCATGCAGGCATATGCACGTTAGGTGTCGAGTGTATATTTAACTGGATATTATGTTTATTGCAGTTAACTTAAAGAGCTTGTGATTTTGTTGAAATAAAGGGGTACAATATTTGAAAATGTAGTTGCATCTAATATGCAGCCTGATGGTGTTTAATGGTTTTAAATACATCAGCTTGTTTCATTATGTGCTAGTAGTTATCATTAAATTGTAAGTTGCTATAAACACAGCTATTTCCATTACACTCGTACCTTGTTCTTGTCTCTTTTTTGTCTTGGCTTCCAGTGCCTCTCTGGCAACGTCTATTTCTTGCTTCAAAGTATTTATGTGTTTTGCCAGTTCTATTGCTTTTGTTTGCTTCTCCTTATAAATCAATTTGTTTTCTTTGAAGATACGGTTAATCTCACTGCCTCGCTCTGCTTTAAATGCCTCAAATGCAACAGCTGGCATTGGTGGAGTGCTGCCATAGATACAGTAACAAAAATATATCAAGGTCAATGAACATTTCCATGACACGAACATTGCAGTATGTTATTGTCAATACAAAGGCCACATCTGATCCCTGTGTGCTAAGGTGTTTTGGCAAGAGTAGGTGCTAAACAGGTTGATGTTTTGAACACTCACTTTGAACGGTTTAGCTGTTCAGAGACCTCAGAGGCTACGCTGGTCACGTCATGCTCTCTCTGGCCACCTTCTCCCACAAAGGGAGACTCTCGGAGCTGTGGGCTTCCTGGCCTCTCCCTTTTGCTTATGGAGTTGGCAGAACACACCAGTCAGCGATAAGCATAATCAACATGTTGCAATCTGAGGACACACTGCATTAATATACATTGTATACATGTTTGTGAGTTTAATCCAATATAAAAATGCTGCAGTAGACAAATATTTTCAACAGTCCCTGAAGTTCACAAAAAACTGCAAAGGTTTAAATATATTTTAGTGTCAAATTCCATGCATCAGTCCTCAATAGTTCAGTGATATTAATATTTAAATTCAACAAAACTTTTTACTCCATCGAAATATTCGCGGGAGGCAGTCTGCAAAATCCATTGTTTTACTGCCCAATTTTCCAACGTCTATGTCCAACCTTTCACCTACCCAAATCGACCAGCCAGGTGAAATATGGTGAAATAACCGCCTCGATTTGCATGGTGTGGAGATGCACTCACCCAGCAGTGGATTCACAAAAGTGTCGTACATGTACAGCATAATGAATATTATTTAAATCATCAAAATAATGGATATGACCACCTGGCACTATCCTTAAGTGTCTTCTTGTTCCTGTTCTTCTTGGCAGTAACAACGGGCGAGAGGTAAAGCTTGGACGAGGTGGGCGCCAACCCAAGTCCAAATCCATCGCGCTCCAGCTCTCCAGCCAGAACCACTTCATTTTCTGTTGAGCCAGCCTGAGGTTGTTAGGAATTGGATGAAATATGATTACTTCATTAACATAAGTGCAACAAACTAAAACAGTATAAGTACCATACTATATACTTAAGCATTAAATTGTAAACCCTTGAAGTACAAGTTGCATATGTTTTTTTTCTTGAATCTAATGAACTTATATTTCTTTGATGAGGGGGCTTAGCAATAAGCTGAGCCAGGTGTTTGTAAGAAAAGAAACAATTCTTACAACGTTGATACAAACAGAACACTGCGATTTTCGGAGATTTCCAGAGTTAAGATAATGTTTGTCATTAATAAATTAAACATATTATAGTGGCAAGTCCTTTATAACCAGGCAAGAGACCATTTTATATGTCTTGTGACACTAAATGGTGATCTGCACGGGAGGGTTATATGCTACACTGTTTACGTGTTACATTGTGCATAGCTTGGGCAACTGTACCTTCTGAATTACATCTAGAGAAGGCCCCTTTCTCCTCTCTTGCAAGCTGAACTTTTGCCTTAGGTTTGCCTCCACCTCTTCCTCTTGCTGACTGCATAAAGTTAAAATAGCAAGCAGCCATCATGTACACTTCCCATTCGTACCAGCATGCCATATTGTACCATAAGCTTGCAAATTCAACGTGCAGTAATTAATCATGCCAATTATACAATTGCGGAGTTGTGATGTTTATAGTGTGCATATTTGTGTCACCATCATAATCTTTGTAGCATTTCTCAATGTACTGCCATTTACCAGAAGGTTTAACAAATATATTGCCACAGTAATCATTAAAATACAGTATACTTACAAGAAAATCACCTTAAATTGTGCAAACACTTCTTGAATTTGTCTTACGTTGGCCAACTACAATAGAGACAAACAAGCAGTTACCACAGTGACCACTCAATGTACACACACCTATATAAATCCACAATTGTACTGCGGGAAGGAATATGTTTGCACTAAAGGCTGCGTGTTGTTTATAAACCAATAAACATAAGAATGCTGCACCTGGCATTCATTGTCCTGGGCCCTAATTTTAAAATTGCAACAGAAACTGACATTTTTTTGTTTGATCAATTTTCGAAGAGCATTGTCAGCCACAACAAAAAATAAATTCATCTCACACTGAGGAATCAAAACTTAACAAGATAAATCATTCTCTTGAGGACTAGGTTTGGGCATGAGGCAGGTTTACACTGGCATGAAACAACTCAATGCTACGTTGAGAGTTCTACTGAAAACTGTTGACAATCACAGAAGAGAAGTCGACATTCAACTCACGGTGATCTCGTTGAGTGAGCCATCTAAGTAGCGGCGCACTTGAGATTGAATCTCAGCCACCTGATGTTCCAAAAGTGGCTCATAGCTCACCTTCTTACGGTTTGCCTGCCACATGCAATTAAACATAAACCTTAGCAAATACACATGCATACATATATTTACACTTCATTTTATCAGAATTTTGCTGAAGAAAAAGCGTAAAAGAGCACTGTTTTAAATGTGGTACAACTGTAGTAACTTTTTCACGTATGTCAAGTGACCTTTATTGCCACTTCAAAGTCCATTTTATTTTCACAAACCTTGTTGCCATTCATTTTCTAACCTTGCCTTAAATAACATTAGAATGCGTAAAAAACTACTTTCTCATGCCAGTGCAACTATGTGTAATGCTCCCAGCTTTGACCCAAATGTGGAAGGTTGACCGAACTGCTGCTACAAGTATCCAAATACTGTATAACAAAAATACAGAACTTTTCCATACCAAGATGTCATGCATTGCCAGTTCATTTTTCAGCAGCCTGATCTCTTTCTCTAGATCCTTCACTGTCCGCTGTGGAGAAAGGCTCAGCATTAGAAGCTTTTTTTCGATCAACTCATAGCACAGTGCAATAAAACACGAGTGGTAGCCATCATTGAATATAACCTCTTGACTATGAGAATAAAATTAGGCAGGTACTTGTGGGTCATGAAGTTCAATGGGGACAGGGTTCACAGGAACGCAGGCCATCCGAGCAGCAAACCTCAATGTGGAGAGCTGTATGGGGTACGGACAACACATCACACAACATTTTTTCATTACTTGAACCAGTTCTGGTGAGCATTCAGAAAATTATTAATATATATATAAAAAAAAATTTGCAACAAACACTACAAACACAAGACAATTATACTTATTTTAAAAGTCAGATTATATGTCTAAGTGAATGACATTTATCAGTACCGTTTCTTCTATCTGTTCAGTCTCCCCGATGATGTTGGCAATGAGCACAGTATTGCAGTTTCCACCTGAATGGGTATAAATAAAAATACAAATTCAGCATGTTGTGCAAAATAGGGTCAGATACTGAAATTGCAAATGCTGTATTCCATGTGTACCGTTCAATCTGGAAAACGAGACCCACCGATGGCATCCTTAAGAACATGTGTGAGTTTGCTTTGACGGAAAGGGACATGCTCCCGTCTGCGATCTGCCAGGGCGATCACAGCTTGCTCCAGGAAGGACAGCGACTTGTTTATGTACGTTGCCTCTCTTTCCACTTGTCCTTCTGACTGTAACAGGTCAGCATTGCCGCATGAAAATTAAACATTAGCCAATTTCTATTCTGCTCTCTCATTTTAAAAACAATTACAGTATTTCATTAGTAATATGGTATTACAGACTGTGCGGGGATGTCAACTTTAGTCACAAGCCCAAAATAGATATGGCAATAATATGCAAATATAGCACAATTAATGTAGTAAGAGAACATTTGTGAAAGTGTGTCAATTAAAACAAACCGTAGCTTTGCCCAAACGCTCAGAGCCAGCCAAATCAACCAGGTTGAGTTTAGACATCGTGTATTTAGAATTTGTGATTGTTTTCGAGCGGGACTGGAACACACAAAATGACAAATATCAGACATGTGCATACCAAAGCCAGATCAGCTTTATTTAGATAAATGTAAACATTGAAAATATGCGACAAAAATGTAAAATATCCAATGCTTGTTGCATTATATGGAATTTGCATTCTAAGTAAATGTGATGGAACAAAGTTACTTTTAAAAGCGATATATTGTCAACTTTTAAACAAACTATTAATTATAAAAGCTTATAAAACAATTGTGTAGTTTCTTACCTCTATGTACAGAGTGAATATGCAGTGAGATCTTGAAGACTTCTTATTGAGCGTATGGCAAGCAACTGCTCTATTCATTTCACCCTAAAAGAGTAAAACATACGTCAACAAATTTGAACTAAAATACAAATACTCTATTCTTAGTTTTTTCGGTAAAGTCACGTTGAAGGTAAACAACAAAATAATAAAATATATATAAAACAATAAAAAAATTCTCACGACGTTTCGACTATAACTCAAACGGTCATCTTCAGGTGTGTTGGTTTGCATAAATGTATTTTTAAACGGCGCATTTCTTTATTTATAAAAAACGTTAGCGCCACGCGCAACGATTTGGCAGTTTACCCAGGACTAGTCCATCTATATTCTGAAAAGAGGAGGGGGGAGACGAAAATTTTTTATATATATAATGTATGCTGTCTGAAAGCCACTGTAAGCGTGAACAATCAATCAAGAACTGAAATGATTTATCAAATCTTTCCAATGATTGCTAAGATAGAATCCATCTTCTCGGTTGAAATTGTCTCTGTGCTTGTATATGTGGATAGCCTCATGAACGAATCTCTCATGGAAGCCAGATGGCTTACAAAGAACCTCCGTCTTGGAAAAGTCAATGGCATGTGAGCCTACTGAATTAGAACAATGATCTGCTACGGCCGAGGTGTTGGTCCTACCGTGTTTAAGGTCTGCTTTATGTTCACGAATGCGGTCCGAGATATGGCGTTTGGTTTCTCCAATGTAACTACTACCACAGAGGCAACTTAGTTTGTAGACACCAGGGTATTGTATGTCCGGAATCACATCTTTTACAGATGGAACCAGATCACGGATTTTATGTAATGTGTTGAAACGGACCTGGATCTTGTGTTTATTCAAGATTTTGGAGATCTTTTTTGTGATCCCAGCAATGTAGGGTAAAGTGATGGTTTTGAAAGGCTCCTCAAGAGGGTTCTTCTTCATGGTTTGAGTGATAGCTTTGCGGATTGTATAGTCGGAGTAACCATTAGCCCTAAGAGCTTGGTGTACGTGCTTGAGTTCACTGCTTATGTGTTCCTGGTCGGATATGCATTGGGCTCTATGATACACACCTGAAGATGACCGTTTGAGTTATGGTCGAAACGTCGTGAGAATTTTTTATTGTTTTATATATATTTTATTATTTTGTTGTTTCCCTTCAACGTGACTTTACCGAAAAAACTAAGAATATGAATTACTGCAGTCACGAAAGCTTTAAAACAAATACTGTAGTTTACTCATTGACTTTACAAGTGTAATATTATATCTTAGAATTTCGTATACTTAGTTATACTGATCAATAGCCATTCTAGACAGTAGTTACATTCGCATGTATTTTATCAGATAGAAAATTTGAAATTTATAACATTGCCCAAAAGTATGAAACTGTTGTTAAGCACCTCAAATAGCTTGGTGAGGGCCTCCTCTTGGCTGCTGACCAACTGACAAGTCAGACCTTTGACAGAAACCATACCACGCTCATCCATAATAGACAGTTGTTTATCGATGGCCTGACACGCAGGCATGGCACACAGGTCACAGAGACTTTCGTTGTAGATCTCCAGATAGGAGACGCGAACAGTGATGTCTTGCTCCACACGCTCCTCAATATCGTGAAAGACCTAACAAATATAAAGTACATTCCTTGTTATGCCTGGAATACAACAACCAAAACACAGCAGTATTACGTGCACATATATATATTTTTTTTATAAAAGATACACAGTAACTACCATAAAAAACATGCATATTAGACTCAAACTAATTTCAGTGAAAGTTGATAGGGAGACGCTGGAAAAAATAGCATTTTATTTTACTTGCTCAAGGACCCGCGGGATGATGCCTCGCTCGGAGAAATTTTCCGTGCTTCCAGTCATTGTGTACGATTTCCCTGCGCCGGTCTGACCATAGCACATTATGGTTCCTGAGAATTCAGAGTGGTGTGGCAAATTTTATTTACAACACTAGTTACAATCCACTTTAGTAGTTTGTCATACATATTTTACATCACACAACATGAAATACATTGTCACGGGAATATTGAATTATACCTCTCAATAAAAAATACTTATTACCTGTGTGCAATATATTCATATTCTCAAAAGCATTCTACACAAGTAGCATAATTGTATTTTGGCATTGACAATTATAAGATTTCTCATACAATAAAAATCAGTATAAATTTCGATTTAAAGCTTTCGTGACTGCAATGATTCATCTTCTTTGGTTCTTTCGGTAAAGTCACGTAGAATGAGAATAAAATAATAAATTGATAAAATAAAATAACACAATAATATTCTCACGACGTTTCGGCCACAACACAAGCGGCCTTCATCAGGTGAAGGGGGCGAGACTGTCTGGTAGGACAGCGCTACCAGACAGTCTCGCCCCCTTCACCTGATGAAGGCCGCTTGTGTTGTGGCCGAAACGTCGTGAGAATATTATTGTGTTATTTTATTTTATCAATGTATTATTTTATTCTCATTCTACGTGACTTTACCGAAAGAACCAAAGAAAATAAAAATCAGCTTATATATCTGCGGTACGTCAGTGGTGCCACACACCGTTGTAACCATCCAGTGTCCGGGAGACAACCTCTCGCGCCGTCTCTCTGTACACCATTTCCTGGTTGGTGTTGTGAAGACTTCCATCCACCTTGAAGCTCCATTCTGTGACTTGATTGTTCACAATCTCCTTTTGATTGTGTTCCTTTAAGCGGATGTTTACCGTCTTCACGCACATAAGCATAAAACACGTAAAAAATTATATCACTTTTATTTAGATGTCTGAGTATATTATTTTGCTGGGTAACAATATCTAGAATGTTAAGAAAAATGGAATTGGGCAGGACACGCTGCTCGAAGGGATAATGGCTAGTGGTTGAGACTAACGACGGAAGGAACGTGTTTAGGAGCTAGATGGATTGTTGCATTGTGAGAACCATGAGAGATGATGATGGCTTGAGGAGGCCTTCATCTAGCAGTGGATAAATAATGAAAGGTGATGATGCCGAGTTATATGGTGCTCTCAATCTCCTTTTATTTATCTGGGATAAGTAAATTAAATTGAACATTCATGTTTGATTGTCTATTATCTGATTGGATGAATGTCATTTTTGGTCGAAATAATGTACACGTTAGGAATATTACTCATTTGCCTATGGTTAAATCATCCGCAGTGTGCACGATGTCGAAAGGCAAATATATGTACGAGCAACAACCATGCATGAAGAACGTGTGTTTTCGGCTTATGCTGGGATATATTGTCAGCAGAGGGCGGTGTTGTATTCTACAATGCTCTAACGTGTATGCTCCCCACCTTCAACCCGCACTGACCAGCATGGTTAAATATGGTAACATAACCCCCACGATCCCCACGGCATGGGGAGGGCCCTCATCGGGAAGTGGATTGGCAAAAAGGCCGCTGCTGTACGCGTAATGTAATACCGTACCTTATCAGTTGGGTTTATGTCAATCTGGCTTTCGGCAAACCTCGGCGAGGGTCGAGTGCGTAAAACGACCCGCACACAGCTCATATTGCACTGCCAAGTGGAACAAAACAGACATGGTTATACCTCCACTTAATTATTCACAAAACAAATACAGCATTCAATTGAGATACTTTTACACTTCAGCATTTCACTTTTGACGAGCGTCGTCCATTTCGATCAATAATAATACCATGGCATATATCCTGGAAGCCTCACCGAGCCTCGATGCTTCTTGCGGGAGGATTTTTAATCAATTCCCTTTAAATGAGCGTTTTGAATGGAGGAAACCGGATAAATCCTATAGGCATTCCAGGAGATACGCTCAAATGTACGCACATACACGGGTTCACAAACCCACTTCTCTTGTACTTAAAACAATTCACTGCATATGGCAATAGGAATTCAAAGGTCAATGTATTGATAATGGAATGAGTGCTGCTATGATACTCACCTCCACTGCTGGTCCTGGAATCGGTGGTGAAAAATTCCACGTTACAATGGCGGGAGCCAGTCTACCGATACTTCAACGTGCTTAAAGACTTATATTTGAGAAGTTTAATCAGTGATAGCGGTGACAATTCACACAATTAGTTTACCAAACTTCAGAGAGGTATACGTAACTCGATATAAAAAGCGCAATACATTTCTATATAACGCCTATGAAGTTTAGACTCCCACGAGTGCGTTATCAAACGTGCAGAAAGCATATTCGTTGGGTCTTTCGGTAAAGTCACGTAGATCTACGTGATCTAAAAGCCAGATATCAATTCCTGCAGTCACGAAAGCTTTAAGTCAAGATGTACAGAAAGTAATTACCTTTAAATCCGACACGTGAGCGGCGCAGTTTATTGACAAGTTACTCCTGCTCGTATGATTACATAAAACCAAGAGCGGAGCGCTAAACGAGCATGTGGAGATAACAAATAAACAAATTTGTATCGTATTATTGGTTCTTTCGGTAAAGTCACGTAGAAGGGTAACACTAATACGTGACTTTACCGAAAGAATAATACGTGACTTTACCGAAAGAACCAATAATATGAATCCCTGCAGTCACGAAAGCTTTAAATAAAAATGTAACTTTGTATCGCTTCCAAATTAGATACTGTACCGCGTTAGGGGCCCGTCGTCACGGCGACCACCACCGGCGTCGCGAGGTTTGCCGTAAAGCAGCAGAAACGTGCCCACGCCCAACCAAGCGATCTGTCGCAAAATTGTCGTAACCCCCCTCCCATGCCCTCGCCCCCACCCCTCCCCCTTCTCGTGACGTCATCAAAGCCCGCCCCCGCCGAAGGGTGCGAGTCGAAACTTAACAATCCTAGATTTTGATTTAAAGCTTTCGTGACTGCAAGGATTCATACTCCTTTGGTTTTTTTCGGCAAAATCACGTAGGTAAAAAAAAATAAATGAAAATAAATGAAAACAACTAATTTGTTTTCATTCATTTTTATTTTATTTACTTTATTTTATTTTTTTTACCTACGTGACTTTACCGATAAAACCAAAGAGTATGCATCCTAAGCAAATCAGAGTACTGTAATCCGAAACAAACAAGAGAAGCGACATTAATAAAAACAACTATCAACACGTTCGTCGTCAATCACACACTCTGTGCGAGTCCATTAAAGTAAAAAAATATATATGCAATAAGCGACGTTTCGGACAATGGTCCTTTTATGTGCTCTCAATAAAGGCTCATCGCCGAGCGTTAATGACGAACACACACACGTGTTTTAAGGATCTCAAGTGAATGTCTCTCCGCCTCCCCATTGGCTGAGCGATTATCGTGGGGGGGTGTGGGGTAGAGTAATGTGACTCGGCCCCCTGTGTGTTCGCGCACCTTAAACAGGCGTTATTAATTACAACGCCACGGTCAATGTTAAATATAATTGTTTTAAATACAGTCTCAACGAGGTGGGAGAGGTGGAGTCGAGGGAGGCAATCGAGAGACAGTTCTGTACAAACGTCTTGTTTCGTACGGCTGATGCAGGTGCAGACTAACAACTACCAATTCACATTCAAGTGGTCCCTGTACAAACAATAAGGTCACACACATACATCATGGATTGACTTCTTTGTTGAATCGATTAAGAATCGATTGTTCGTGAATCGATACCCACCTCCCAGGGTCCCTTACCCCGTCACCGCCCCCCGTCACACCCCCTCCCCTCGCCCCTCCCCCCGCTCCTCCCCCCGCCCCTCCCAACGTCCCCCCCGGTCCCTCCCCCGTCACCGCCCCCCGTCCCAGTCCCCTCCCCCGGTCCCCCCGCCCCCCGTCCCCCGACCCCCCCTGCCCCTTCCCACCCCCCACCCCACCAACGTGGGGCAGGGTCCAGAGTCTCCTCCCCGGTGCGGAGTTCCCTCCGACTCGCGCGAGCCGTGGTGCCACCCAGCGCGACACCAAACAACAACAACAGCGGCAGAGCAGTGAGTGAAGCGTCCCAACCCCAGCAGCAGCAGCAGCATCATCTTTATATATAGACGTGGTCCCTCGTTTGTTGTGTGCACACGTGTGTACGTTATTGAGGCTCTACGCCACAGTACTTGAGTGTTGTCGTCGTCGTGTGTCTGTGTGGGTGGGTAGCTGTAAGAGCAGAGTATACAATTTCTGGATTGGCAATCATCATGGTCATCACCGGGGCGCGTGTAACTATGCGATAATAACCAGGAGTGCAGGTAATATATGGTCTTTCTATTGTATTTATAACGACTGCGAAGCGGTGACGTTGATGGCGTAGTATTTACTTTGGCCAGGTTTTATTCCCCAGGACCTACTTGCTGTGCTGCCGTCGTGTTAACCATTGGCTATTACGTGTGCGATTGCATCTAATTATTCCATACGCTCTAATTAACGTAAACTGTTCAATTTGAGTGGCTCAAAAGTGGTCTCAGTGAGTGTTGGTATATCGGTCTCGTTCAAGGCGTTTGGTCTTCTTCTGTCGTGACCTCTATCCCTCCGTGGTTTACTCTGCAAGGTAGGAGGCAACACTTATTTGTCTAAAGAATCATTTTTAAACGAAATGCCTTACTTTTATCTATGTCTTACGTGAAACCCAAGTTATTCTGGTAAAAAAAAGCGAACGGCCATAAACACGAATTAAGTTTTTAGTCCATCAGCATGTCATCCTTCCAGACTGATTTCAACAATTAGCATTTATTTCAGCAATGTAAACCACGGACAGGTTTTTTTTAAATAAAAATCGTATTGTACACCTTTGTATTTCCTAATTAATGTTCCCATTTATCTTGGGTACTTTTTCTCAAGTTGTGATCTCGTAGGCCGGATACACATTACTCTTTAACGTTATTTGACGTGGAACCCTTAACATTGCAAGTGCTTAGTGTTATGAGACTTTTGGATCTAAGTATTGTATACAATACCGTATAATATATTTAAATCGCACAATGTGCGTTTGTTTGCAATAGTGTTTGCAGTAAAAAAGTTGTATTTGAAAACGACGGACTGAGCATTTCAAAGGTCGTCCAAAACGATTTTATGTACACGGTGGTCCAGATGACTTGTGACCGCCATTTAGGGGTAAATAAATTAGGGGGCACAAGCCATTTGGACAACCATGTATATTCCAAAAAGTACGTTTTGTAATTTCTAAATTATTCAACTGGAACGATGGCGCGCTATGGAACGTGGGAATTTGAATTAGATCCATGGTTCTGGGTGGTCCCCCCCGCCCAGATGCCCTTTACGTGGTGAAGTATGGTCAAACAAACTCCCATCATCACCACGGAGTAGAGACGCAGTCATGCAGCAGTGGATTCACTTAAGGTTTGAGAATAATTGTTTTAGCACTGGCCACATAATTATGATAGGATTGGTATAATCCTTTTATACTAAACGGACTTTTGCCACTAATCCCGTTTTCAAAACGTATTAACCTGATTGTTGACATCAGCTGGCACCACCACATGTTGCCATTCTACATGTATACAACTTATCCTTTGTTTAAACCGGATGGGGGATCCGCCAGACTTAAGTCTCTCGAGGAAGAGCTGTGGTTAGAATGTAAACAGTAGAATATACATTTGTATTAACCTAATGCATACGGGGTCAATAATAATGCATTTTTGTATCTGGTCGTTGGGTTTGCTGGGTCATGCACACATCGCTAGCCACTGATGTTAGCCGGAGCCGGGAATCAAACTCACGTCGTCGGTGGCTTCATACATAGTGCATTTCTATCACGAGTGTGCCACAGTATAATGTCGAAATATAAAGCAATTTTAATAAAACCCTGGGATACAAGACGTAACAACCACAATACTATATAGTTCCAAGCACGGGGAACGTGGTAGAGAGCACATTTACAGAATGTAAAGAATTGGTGTTTACTGTTGGGACAACGTGGGTGCTTTGACGCACCATACATCTAAAGCGTTTAATGGTATAGTCACTATAGTTCATGAACCCCGTCTTTCATACAAACGTAGACCTACATCACGACTTGTGCGCATCTCCAGCTATTAACATGAAGTTAGCCAGTTGATGGCAAGTAATGAATGAAAAGCATGATCTGTTTCTGTAAAAATACCACAACCTTAGCATACGTGCAAAGGTTGAAATGAGAGTTAAGCCAAACACTACCGAGGTATTCGTAGGTCGTGGCATTTTCAAGAGCGTAGTCACGTAATGTGTTTAAGGATATTATTGTACAAGTGTTATTTTAAAAAAAGTCGTCGCAAAGGATAATCATTTTGTCTTACATGTAGCAAACATTATTATTTAAATTTAGTTTTTCTTATGTTTGAACTTTAGTAAAAGGTGAGGCAGGGCTTATACGCGTCCTCGGAATAAAATGTATTTTGGAACGAGTACATTTATAAACGGTATTATGAGAACAAGAGTCTCAACATTCGGAACATCCTTAGAAACTTGGGCGACATCTTCTGTTGTTCTCTCCAAATCTCGTACATTTTTTTCACTGATGTCTTCTCCCTTAGGAGTGGTGGCACATCGAGTTCGCGTATTTTTGCTGTGAACTTGGTGACCTGCGGTCAATTCCCAGCCATGGTTAACATTAGTGGCAAGCGATTTGTGAACTCGCACTCCCCCCCCCCCCCCATATTCTGCATGGTGATTACTCGAGAATGCATTACGGTAACCCAGAGTTTGCAGACCAAGGGGTAAGAGCAACAGTCACATGTTAAAACTGAGAGCAGAGTTTGTGAGTCGGCTGAGCAACAGCTGTAGGTTCCAGCAGAAGAAGGGATTTATGGATAGCTGTGGTGATGTCGGCTGCATTGGTTGTGGTGACCTTGATTTTGATAACCAGGCCACGCAAAAATAGTAGATATCGCTCTGTGGATTACGCAAACATTTGATTGGATTAAGATCATCATTGTTATGGGGTGTGTACTTGTCTGCCACCACTGTACCTTATAATTCCTCGGGCTAATCTCCATTCCACGTGTAATGATACGCGATTGTGACAATGTACCAATGGGATGAGACGGAAGCCCCCCCATGAATGGTCTGCATACAGATTCTCAACAGTGACGCGAACGCTGCTGAAAACAACATTTCAATACGATCTGGCTGTTATTCCAACTTGGCACGAATCATAGAAATAACATCTTATTTGTAAAAAAAGAGAAATTATCTCAAGCGGAGCACCCCAGGTTACTCCTTAAATAAATATTTTGTCAATGTAATATTTGCAATACAGTCATGTACTTCGCTACACATTACATCATTGTGCTCAGCTTATTACCAAGGTTTTGATATCAGAAATATTTGCCTAACACCATGCAATGTACGTAAGTTCTACACGTTTCGGTTAACTTGGCCAACAGCT